TCTATCCTCTTCACCTACCTTCAGTAAAGCTCCCCAGGTTGATTTTTGCTCTGTGACACCAAAGCTTTACATGCACAACTTGCTGCAAATTCCAAAGGGGAGGCAACCAGGCCCCCTCAGGCAATTTGCAATTCATATGCTCTCACTGAGGAGGGAGTAGTAGAGATCTTCAAATCTAAGCGCTGAATATCTTGCACTGGTGGACTCAGATTGGGAGTTCTAGGGCTCACTATGAGCAATTTAAGAAAATTGAATAGCCTGGCTTGTATACTGGCTAAACTCAGTTGGACTTTACAAACCTGGATGCGCTGAACTAAGAACTAAGGCAGGTTCAGTAAGCAACCCACTAACAGAGATGAAATGATAGAAAGTGTTGAAGCCATAGGAACCCTGGGAGGAAGTGATCATGCAATATTGGAATTCAACATTATGGAAGCACAAGCAATAGAACACAGTCAAACTAGAGTCTTGGACTTCAAGAGAGTTAATTTCAATAAACTTAGAGAGGGTTTGGGAAGGATTCCATGGATGAGAATACTCAAGGGGAAAACAACTCAAGAAGCTTGGGAAATTTTGAAAAATTAGATAATAAAAGCCCAGTCTAGCACAATATCAACAAAGAGGAAAAATAACAGCTCTCAAAAGAAACCAGCATGGCTGCATAAAGAACTCTCTGACCAATTGAAAGATAAAAAGGACAAGTATAGAAAGTGGAAAGAGGGGCACATAACTAAGTCAGACTATCAGCAAATAGCCCGAGCCTGCAAAGATGAAGTGAGAAAAGCCAAGGCTCAAAATGAACTAAGGCTTGCGACCAAAGTCAAAAATAACAAAAAAAGCTTCTTTCAACATGTAAAAAACAAGAAAAAAGTGAAGGAAATGATTGGTCCATTAGTGGGTGAAAGTGGCAAGAAGGAGACAAGCAACAGGGAGAAAGCAGAACAATTTAACTCGTGTTTTGCATCTGTCTTTACACAAAGGGAAAAAGCAGACCAACCTATCAAAAATAGTGCCATAAAAAACAGAATAGAAACACAAGATAGGCAAGAAAATGGTAAGTGAGCACCTGTCCAGCCTAGACAAGTTCAAATAGCCAGGACCAGATGGATTACATCCCAAGATTCTCAGGTAACTGGCAGATGTGATCTCAGAACTACTGAACTATATTTTTCAAAGATCGTGGAGCACTGGGGAACTACCGGAGGACTGGAAAAGAGCTGATGTAGTTCCCATCTTCAAAAAAGGAAAAAAAATGGACCCAGGAAATTACAGACCTATCAGCCTGACCTCAATACCTGGGAAGATCCTGGAAAAGATAATCAAACAAAGAATCAGCGAACAGCTAGAGGCAAACCAAATCATTACTAAACACTAACATGGGTTTGTCAAAAACAGAATATGCCAGACAAATCTTATTGCATTCTTTGACCAAGTGACAAAATTAGTAGATCAGAGGAATGCTGTGGATATAATTTACTTGGACTTCAGTAAGGCATTTGATAAAGTAGATCACAACCTACTACTTGATGAGATAGAAAAATGTGGGGTAGACAGCATCACCACCAGATGGATCCGTAGCTAGCTAACCGGCCGTACTCAGTGTGTGGTCCTCAATGGAACCGCATCTGCATGGAAGGAAGTGTGTAGTGGGGTGCCCCAGGGCTCTGTTCTGGGCCCAGTGCTCTTCAACATTTTCATCAATGATTTGGAGGGGATAGACGGGGAACTCATCAAATTTGCAGATGACACCAAGCTGGCAGGAATAGCCAACATTCCAGAAGACAGGCTTAAGATACAGAAGGATCTGGACAAACGTGAACACTGGACACTATCTAACAAAATTGAATTCAATGGTGAAAAAAGCAAGGTTCTACATTTAGGCAAGAAAAACCAAATGCACAGGTATAGTATAGGAGGTACCTTGCTCAATAGTAGTAACTGTAAGAGGGATTTCGGAGTCCTAGTGGACAATCACCTAAATATGAGCCAAAAGTATGCTGCAGCTGCCAAAAAGGCCAACACAGTACTAAGCTGCATTAAGAGAGGGATAGAATCAAGATCACGTGAAATGTTAATACCACTTTACAATGCCTTGGTAAGGCCACACTTGGAATACCACATCCAGTTTTGGTCACCATGATGTAAAAAAGATGTTGAGATTCTAAAAAGAGTACAGAGAAGAGCAACAAAGATGATTAGGGCAAGGCTTTTCCACTCGTGGTACAGGTACCACCCATGGTACATTGGCACCTGGCAGGTGGAACGTAACCATCCTAGAAAAGTAGTGGGGGAGGGGAATGAGCTGAACCGGTGGCAGCACCGCACAAGCCTGAGCGAGAGATGGCTGGAGCTGCAGGGTTGTCAGGGCTTAGCAGAAGCGCAGGATCAGCGCCAGGCTGCAGCTGGAGCTCGGCATTGATCCTGGCGCTACTACTGAGCCCAGAAGAAGAGCCAATCAGCTGGAATGTTGCAGCATCTCCAGGGTCCTGTGATTTACATTCAGATGCTTGGCAACTAATTCATATTTATGACGGTCAGTGTCCCAGGGTCATGTGAAGTGACCAAAACCTGCTGCAACCACCCAGCAGACAGGGGGAATAAAAATCAAACACCACCCCACCCCCGCTGCCAATCCTCAACAAAAATGCTCACAACAATGAAAACCTCGGACAGGAGGAAGAGTACCACCAGGTGGGCAGGCTGTGGCTTGGGGGAGCTTTGAACAGTCACTAAACGAACTGTTGTAAGTCGAGGACTACTTCATCACTTTTTTCCTTTTTTTTTTTTGGTCGTCAAGTTTTTGACACCTTGGTAGGCGACTGGTGGTACTCGGATATTGCCATATCCTAAAAGTGGTACAATGGGTGAAAAGGTTGAAAAGTTCTGGATTAGGGGACTGGAGGCTAAAGCACATAAGGAACAGCTGCTGGAACTGGGTATGTCTAGTTTAATGAAGAGAAGGACGAGGGGGGACATAATAGCAGTGTTCCAATATCTCAGGGGCTGCCACATAGAAGAGGGAGTCAAGCTATTTTCCAAGGCGCTTGAAGGCAGGACAAGAAGCAATGGATGGAAACTAATCAAGGAGAGAAGCAGCTTAGAACTAAGGAGAAACTTCCTGACAGTTAGAACACTTAACCAGTGGAACAACCTGCCTCCAGAATTGGTGAATGCTCCAACACTGGAAGTTTTAAACAAGAGACTGGACAGCCATTTGTCCGAAATGATATAGGGTTTCATGCCTGAGCAGGGGGGTTGGACTAGATGACTTCCAAGGTCCCTTCCAACATTATTATTATTATTATTATTATATATGGATGATCACACAGTCAGCCCGATGTTCAGACTGGATTTGGCATTTTGTCTACCTATCGAGTCCTTACCCAGGACCTGGGATAGGCAGATGTGAATGTTTGATGGTATTACAGGTATCGTCGCAGGATGGAAGCAGTTATTATGATTATTATTATTATTATTAAAATGGGTAGCCAGTGGTTATGTACTGAGGAAAAACATGGCTGTGAAGAATTTTGGGAGGTACGTGGAGACCTGACTGGAAGCTCAAAGTGACATCCAACATTTGAAAATAATTGGCACAGAATATTGGACACTAAATTTCTTTTCCACCGAAAAGAATTTTTGCCCTGGCTTTAGACCTTCATGGTTGAAAGGCTCCCCTTTTGGGAGCCACTGCTGGGATCTTTTTCTGCTGCCTCTATTAGTGTCTTTCCTTTTTTGTTGCATTAACAGTTTAAAAGTTTGTTTATCAAGTAGCTACCTCAGGTTTTGTGGAAGCTCTAGTGCAGGCCTAGTGCAGGCCCAGGCTTACCTTCCAAAGGACTCCCTACTCCACCTTTTGGGTCTCCCTATTGCTTTCCCTTCCCCACAGGGCCCCTGCAGGCCTTTTCTCACTCTTACTGGATCCCTGCAATGCTTAGGCCTGACTCCCACTTCACCAGGCCTCAAAACCTCCTCCTCCTCACCTTTTCAAAATATCTGAAGCTCATGTTCCTGGGCTGCGTGATTGTGTTGTGTAAGCAGCCATTATTTAAATTGTACCTGGGATTTATCCTAGGACCATGTGGTGGTCTTGTGGAAGCAGCTGCCATTTTGCCCTGCCTGCCTCTGCGTCAAAATGGTGACTGCTTCTGGGTCACTGTCACATGGGAGTGGGACAAATTGTTCTATTTTCAACCTTAATACTTTGTAGACTAGGTTAAGGAATTGTGGGTGTCCTAAAAATGGTGTATGCCTCTGGGAGATCTCCAAAAAGGCAGGCCATGTATCCCTGGGGCACTTAATAAGTGGACAAGTAGCACTTGCACCGGTATTGTGCTGCAGCTGCCAAAAAAAGCCAATGCAGTCCTAGGCTGCATCAACAGAGGAATAATGTCAAGACAATAAAGACATAGAATTGCTTTACACAATACTGAGGGAGGGATGGACAATGGGAGGGAGGGAGGGAGGGAAGGAAGGAAGGAAGGAAGGAAGGAAGGAAGGAAGGAAGGAAGGAAGGAAGGAAGGAAGGAAGGAAGGAAGGAAGGGACATGGGAGAGAGGGAGGGAAGGCAGTCCCACTCCCCTCCACCAGAGACCCATGGATTCCCCCCACCCACACAGGCATCCTGAGTGATGAGTTGGCCACCCGCCCCCCGCCATTGACTTCGCTTGTCAAAAAGTTGCAAAAGGGGATCACATGACCCTGGGACACTGTGACCGTCATAAGTATGAATCAGTTGCCAAGCATCCAAATGTAAATCACATGACCCTGGGGATGCTGCAACAGTCATAAGTGTGAAAAATGGTCATAAGTCACTTTTTCAGTGCCGTTGTAACTTCGAACAGTCACTAAGCGAATTGTTGTAAGTCGAGGACTACCTGTGCTTTATCATTTTTTCCCTCTTTTTTTGGGGGGGGGGTCAAGTTTTTGATACCTTGCTGGGCAACTGGTGGTACTCGGATATTGCCTTATCCTAAAAGTGGTACAATGAGTGAAAAGGTTGAAAAGCCCTGATCTATGCAGTTTCTCAATCACCCAGATCATGGTTGTCCAAAGGTGTTTTTCCTTGAAAAAGTTTTGCTTCTCATCTAAGCTTCTTAAGTTTTGAAGAAGCTGTAGGATCTTCTTGGTTGAGAAGCATCCTATCCGGAGATGGCAACATTTGTGCCTAGAAAGCGGACAATACCGTGGGCGGTTTCTGGGGTTGAGCTTAAAGGAGTTAAAACCATGGAGTACTTTATTGCTAGAAAGGATGGGAGGAGATGGGAAGCAAAGAGGAACTTCCTCTTTGGGATCACTCATGAAAGGAGCATAGTGTGAAGAGAAGCTTTTGTGCTTCTTCCAAGAAGAAGCAGCTGGAAGTTGAATTGAGAGAAAGGGACAGTCCCGTGGGGAAGGGAAAGGCCTGGGATGATCAAAAGGTTGAGGTAGGGGAGGCCTTTGGAACACAAGCCTTGACCTGGGGTATGCCCCCAACACTGAAGTAGCCAGTGTTCTGTTTAACAACGCACACATTTAACAACTTATATCAGGGAGAGAGGGGGGTGGGGTGGAGTAAGTTAAGCACAGCAGTCTTGTTTAACAGTGATTACAACATAAAACTGTAATTGGTAAGCTCCATTACACTTATATCTCGAGGACTACTTGTATACTGGCAGGGAAATTCTGGGACTCAAAATCTGGAGGACACCAAGGTAGAAGAAACTTCAATTGTGGAAATTCCATAAAAAATATGGAAAAACCACCACCCAAAAGCCTTTTTGAAGAATTCCATAACTTCTGCAAAAGGAAATATCCAGAAACTTCTGATCACTAGAAATTAGTTAGCCTTTATCAAGACTGTGGGTCCTCTGGTGTATAACCAGGTTGGAATTCTGTCTGAAACTTTTCCCACAATCAGGACATTCATACCATTTCTTCCTAATACAAGTCATCTGGTGAGTCAACAGGCTGTCATTCTGACTAAAACTTTTTCCACAATCAAGGCATTCAAAAGATTTCTCCCCTGTATGCATCCTCTGGTGTCTCATAAGATAGGAAGTTTTACTGAACCTTTTCCCACACTCTGAATAGTCATATGTTTCTGTACTTTGTGAGACCTCTTGTGTGTCATGAGGCTGGAATTCTGACTGAAACTTTCCCCACAATCTGGACACTCATATGGTTTATTTCCTGTGTGACTTCTCTGGTGTGTCACCAGGTTGGAATTCTTAGTGAAACATTTCCCACACTCTGGACACTCATATGGTTTTTCTCCTGTGTGAGTCCTCTGGTGTGTCACCAGGGTGGAATTACAACTGAAAGTTTTCCCACAATCTAGACACTCATACGGTTTCTCTCCCATGTGAATCCTCTGGTGTATCACCAGGGTGGAATTACGAGTGAAACTTTTCCCACACTCAGGACATTCATGTGGTTTCTCCAGAGCATGAGTCCTCTGGTGTGCCACCAGGCTCGAATTCTTACTGAAATTTTTCCTACATTCTGGACAATCATATTGTTTTTCTCCTGTGTGAGTCCTCTGATGTGTCACTAGGCTAGAATTCTTACTGAATCTTTTCCCACATTCTGGACAATCATACGGTTTCTCTCCTGTGTGAGTCTTCTGATGTACCACCAGGTTGCAATTCATACTGAAACGTTTGCCACACTTTGGACACTCATACGGTTTCTCTCCTGTGTGAGTCCTTTTGTGTGTCACAAGGCTGGAATTCTGACTGAAACTTTTCCCACAATCTGGACACTCATATGGTTTCTCTCCTGTGTGAGTCCTCTGGTGTATCACCAGGCTGGAATTCTTACTGAAACATTTCCCACATTCTGGACATTCATATGGTTTATCTCCTGTGTGAATCCACTGGTGTGTTACCAGACTGGAATAATAACTTAAACTTTTACCACACTCAGGGCATTCATACAGTTTGTCCTGGGACTGAGTCCTCTGGTGTGCCACAAGGCTGGAATTCTTAGTGAAACTTTTCCCACACTCTGGACACTCATATTTTTTCTCTCTGGTGTGAGTCCTCTGGTGTGTCACAGAGCTTAAATTCTTACTAAAATGTTTCCCAAAATCAGGAATATCATACAGTTTCTCCCTCTTGTGAATCCTCTGGTGTACCACCAGAATGGAATTCTGACTGAAACATTTCCCACAATCTGGACACTCATATGGTTTCTTGCCTGTGTGACTTCTCTGATGTATTACCAGGCTGGAACTGTGACGGAAACATTTCCTACAATCAGGACATTGAAAGGGTTTCTCTCCTGTGTGAATCCTTTGGTGTATCACAAGGCTGAAATTGTGACTGAAACTTTTCCCACACTCAAGACATTTAAAGGGTTTCTCCCCAGTGTGAGTGCTCTGGTGTATCACCAGGTGGGAATTCCGTCTGAAACTTTTCCCACACTCAGGACACTCATATGGTTTCTCTCCTGTGTGAGTCCTCTGATGTGTCACTAGGATAGAATTCTTACTGAATTTTTTCCCACACTCTGGACAATCATACATTTTCTCTCCTATGTGAGTCTTTTGATGTGGCACCTGGTTGGAATTCATACTGAAAGTTTCCCCACAATCTTGACACTCATACAGTTTATCTCCTGTATGAGGCCTCTGGCGTATCACCAGGCTGGGATTCTTACTGCAACATTTCCCACATTCTGGACATTCATACGGGTTTTCTCCTGTCAGAGTCCTCTGGTGTGCAACCAGGCTGGAATTGTTAGTGAAACTTTTCTCAAAATCAGAACTACGATACAGTTTCTACCTATAGTGAATGTATCTGGTGTATTACCAGGTGGCAATGTTGACTGAATCTTTTCCCACAATCAGGACACTCAAAGTGTTTCTCCCTTGTATGAATCTTCACGGGTGTCATGAGGTGGGAATTTGTAATGAAACTTTTCCCTTAAACTGGACACTCACAGTTTCTCCCTGGTGTGAGTCCAAAATGTCCTCTTAATTTTCTCTCCTTTGTCTCTCACCTGCTGGGGAAGGAGAAGAATTGTGTGGCTTTCTGAAGGAAATGGAAAATATCTTGATTTCTGGCTGGTTTTGCTTTCCTTTCCAATGTTGCTTGTTATTTTCAGTTGTCCAGAGGGGTCTTATTGCCATCCTCTTTGTCTATAAGATTCAAATAAAAGTATAACTTTAATCATTTATAAAATGGTTGCAGAAGATGTAGAAAAAAGTATGTATTGCAATAAATAAGGAAACATGCCACATTGCTAGAATAACCTCTTACATTAATTATGTTTGATTTGACACATGGAAATCCAAATTCCGATATTCATTCAGTCATGAAATTCTCTTTTTCACTTGTGTCATTCAAATTCTTAGCACTGCAAAGAGTTATCATCAAATATATCTGGAAGTGCTGGGGATAGATTATACACTTGTAAATATATGCATGCCAAGAGAAATATAAATATACACATCTACAAATGTATATATGTGGAAAATCCATGTTTCCATCCTGAAAAATGTCCCAAAATAGTTAGTCAAATCTGAGTTAATTTTACAGATATGGGGGCTTTAACTGATGAAATGATGCCTAAAGATTCTGCAAGATTTAAAGCACCAATTTTGCCCATGGAAGTCCTCAACTCCAAGTAAAGGAGAAAATATTTTCCACAACCCACAACCCATTTGCATAAGAAATCAGTGACATCCTAATTCAAGTAGTCCTCACTTACTGATTGCAATTGTGATTGGCATCTATGTCACTAAGCAGCCCAATCATTAAGCATGATGTCACATGATAGTGCCAACTTACATCTGTTCCTCAGCATTTGTTATGCAAACTGGTGTGGGTTGTTAAACGCAATTTCACATGATTTTGAGAAATTAGCTGGGAAGGTCATAAATGAGCGTGGGATGCTGCATCCATTCCAAATGCGAATTGTTGCACCTCCTTTTCCTGCACCTTCATAACCACAGGAACTGCTGACGTGTGATCACTGAACAAGTTATAGGATGACTACAAATTTGTGGACCACGCGTACGTCTGCTTTTACACTGCCATTGTAGCTTTGAAAGCTCAGGGAAGAAATGGTAAGCGAGGACTGCCTATACAACTGAACATCCCAAAGGTCCTAAAATATCTATTTTTAAAAAAAGAAGTGCTGGGGTTAAGCACATTTGAACCTATTCGTACATGGATGGGGCTCCAATAGGGAATAACGTGCTTGTTGGCTTTACAGAAAGGGAAAGCTACAAAAGCGAAGGTGGAGAGAGAAATTCTGTGTCTTAAATAGACATATAATTTGGAGAAAAACTGAAAATTGGAAAGGGAAGATTGTAATGGAATAACTAGATGAAGCAGGACTGGCTTGATAGAATCTAAACGAAAACTCTCCATGTGGCATTTTATTCCAACAACTCAAGTTTCTTTGGAGCTCAATCAACCTGCCTCTTGTGCATCGCAGTCTCTCTTGCCCCAAATGCTCTTCAGGCAGTTATTAGAGCTCCCAGGCCTGTCCCTTGACCCGAAATTCTTTTATCTTTCTAAGTACACTGCATTCAAAGTATTCAGACCTACTTCACTTTTTTCAATTTTATTGTGCTGCAGCCTGATTCTACACCTGTTGAAATTCATTTTTTTCTCATTAATCTACACTCAATACCCCATAATCACAAAGTGAAAACAGAACACTTGAAATTTAGCTGTCTTCCATTTCTCTTGACTGTTGCTGACAATCTTTCTGCACCTTGAATGGCGTTGACCTGTGGTAAATTAAATTGATTGGACATGATTTGGAAAGGTATACACCTCTCTATAGAAGATCTAACAGTTGATAATGCATACTGTAGATGTAGGAGAGCAAAAGCCATGAGGTCAAAGGAATAGCCCGCACAGCTCAGAGGCAGGATTATTGTAAGGCAGAGATCTGGGCAAGGCTACAATAAAATTTCTGCTGCACTGAAGATTCCTAAGAGTACAGTGGCCTCCATAATTCCCCATTGGAAGAAGTTTGGCACAAGCAGGACTCTTCCAAGAGTCAAACTGAGCAACCAGGGTAGTAGGGCCTTAGTAAGAATGGCAGAAAATCCCCCACTCCAGATGTGCAAAGCTTGTTGTGTGATACTCCAAACCCCAAAGGCTTAAATTGTTGCCAAAGGTATTCTAAACTTATGTTTTCACTTTGTCATTATGAAGTACTGAGTGTAGATTAATGAGAAAAAAATGAATTTCAAAATTTGTAGAATCAGGCTGCAGTATAACAAGATTGACAAAAGTGAAAGGGGTCTGGATATGTTCTGAATGCAAGTATATCACAGAACCCCCTTGATCAAAGAAATCAAGGGGGTTCTGTGATATACTTGCATTCAGAAAGCTGTTTGTAAAAAACAATGCAGAGCTTCTTTTTCAGTGTAGATTATACAGCCTATAAAAGAATTAAAATTAATATTGAAAACTTCCACAGAGGTTTGTTCACTGACACGGGCAGAGAGAAACAGGGATGCAGCAGTCAGCAGAGAGGGAATCTGGGCATGTAAGAGAGGCAGATTCAGGTGCTGCATTCAAAGGAAGCCCACCTGGACAGGGCTGCCCATCGACCAAGCCCACCTGGACGCCTCTCGGGTCTCCCTCACCCGCCTTCCAGACGCCCCTGGCCTCCTCCTAGCAGGGTTCCCGCCCTCGCCTCCAGCCACGCTCCCTCTGAGCCCAGAGCTCCCCCGTCCTCTTCCCCCTTCCTCCCCTCCAGGCACTGGGAGGCTGATCCTCCCCAGCAGCCTCAGGGGAACGTAGGAACGGCGGTGGCCAACCTTCCGGGAAACGCCAGGAGCCCCCATGCTGGGAGCCGGGCTGCACCAAGTGGTTGGGCTGCGGGGCAGGAGAGGGGCTCGGGGGAAGGATTTGAAGGGGAATCGGAGAGCCGTTCGCGGAAGCAGCAACCGAGGAGGAGGAGGAGAAGCGGCAGCTCAGAGGTTCCCACGGAGAAGAAAATCTCGCAAGGAGAGGCGGAGACTCGGAAGGGGAGGGGGCGCAACTGGGGGAACCCACCTCGCTCTCCTTCCCTCCCTCCCCCGAGGAATCCCTCCTCCCTTTCTCCCCCTGGGGATTCCCCTCCTCCTCCTGGTTCCCCCCCCCCGTTCGCACGTCCTTGCCCACCTGGCGCCCCTCCCCGCGAGGGGAATCTCCGCAGCGCTGCCGTAAGAGACGTCCGGAAATCAGGAAGGGGGGCGGAAGGGGCCGAAAAGTGACACCCAGACCTCTTTCCCCTCCTTTCCTGCGTCCTCTCTAGGCGGCAGAGAAAAGCTCTCTGCGTTTAACCCTTCGCGGAAGCTGCTGCATGGAGCGGGCGCCTGGGGCGCCGCTGAGCAAAGCCAAACTCCTCCAGCCGGGGCCCCCGCAGAAGACTGTCAACCCTTGTTAAAAAAAGATAGTTATATGCGCTAATCGGCACCCCTAAATGCAAATTAGGAATTCATCGCTATTGAAGATGGGCGAGAAAGTCCAGCAGATGCCGTTGGACTACACAGTACCCACCATCCTTCACCCCGGCGTTAGACGCTGCGATTTGCTGACTACAATAGGTAACCTTATGCAGTATGTCAAGAGGGGCATGGTTGCATCCTTTCTGAATAACAAATTGCATTAAAATGCATTACCCACCCTTAGTCTGCAAAAGGGCTATTCGATGCCATCCGATTTTTGGCTCCCATAGACTCACACCGCTCTTCTCCCAAAAATATGGAGCATCTCTTGTTCTGAGTAGGAGGATCCATTTCCTGCCTTCCTTCTCCGGTTTTATGGCTTTTAATCATTAAAATGAAGCTGCACCCAAAAAGCAACTTGATCCCTCCCCCCCTTTCCACCAATAGAGTTACATGTTCCCCAAGTACAAAACAAAATTAATCACAGGAGCCATCGATGCCACAACAATGCTTTAATCACAATGCCAGCCTGAGGGAATTTCATGCAACCTCTTTTCCAAACTGCTATCAGCATTTGCAGTTAATTTTCAGAGATTTCAAATGGAGAGGGAGGCCACAAGGGGCAGTGTATCCTTCCTGTTTGATTGGCAGCAGCATATTTAACTGTAGTGCTGAGGGAGGTTTCAAGCAGCTGTTATTTGTTGGCACCTCTATTTGGTTGCTAACTGAGGTTGCATTGAAGCTCCCTACTGTTTATAGTTTGTAGTCTCACAAAGAGGAGCTTTGGGAGAAGCGCCCTGCCCTCAGGATTTCTGTTGACAGCTTGCTGGTTATTTTGGAACTCTACCGCTGCAAAATATGGCTTTAAAGGAAAAATAACAAGAGGAAAAAGTGGAATGGCTCCTTTACAAAGAAATCCAAAAGGTCCATTAAAAGAAGCCTTTTGCTTGTTTATTCACAAGCAAGGAACCCATTCCGAATCATGTACTGTCCAGAAGGAATGGCATGATAAATTAAAACCTCCCTGTACTTTTCAGCATTCATGATCCCATCAATATTGCCAGCACCACTGACAGAAATGTAGCCCCAAACCAGGACAGACAATTCATTATGTCTCTCTGGAGACTGCAAACACTCATTTGTCCATATCTCTCCAGGTTTTCTCATATATTTTTGACCGTTGGATCCCAAAATTTTAAACCTGGATTCATCATTGGATAATACTCTTTTCCACTGATCCTTAGTCCAATTTTTGTGAGCTTCAGCATATTTTAGCCTTTTCACCCCATTCCACTTCTGCAAGTATGGTGTCTTGGCTGCTACCAACCCACAAAGGTCATTCCTGATTGAGCTTCTTCAGACTGTAGACGGGTCAATTTGGCCTCCCGATGAAGTTGCCGGATGCTGAGCCAGGTCCTTGGTGCATTTCCTCTGATTTCTCAAAGGAATTTCTCATCAGAATTTGAAAGTTTCCTTTGCCTTCCACTCCTTTTTTTTTTTTTTTTTGTCCTTGACTTCTCCTGCTTCTTCAGATCATGGTTATCCAAAGGTGTTTTTCAAAAGGCAACTGGACTTCCTTAGTTTTTTCCTTGAAGAAGTTTCGCTTCTCATTTAAGAAGCTTCTTAAATTTTGAAGAAGCTGTAGAATCTTCTTGGATGAGAAGCGTCTTATCTGGAGAAGGCGGTCATATAGGCAACATTTATGGCTAGAAAGTAGACAGTATCGTGGGCGGTATCTGTGGTTGAGCTTAAGGGAGTTAAAACCATGGAGTACTGTATTGCTAGAAAGGATGGCAGGAGCCGGAAAGCGCAGAGGAACTTCCTCTTCGGGATCACTCTTGAGAGGAGGATGGTGTGCAGAGAGGCTTTTGTGCTCTTCCAAGGAGCGAAGCAGCAGCTGGAAGGTGAGTTGAGGGCAGGTCGGAGGAGAAGCCAGGAGCAAGTCGGGCTGTTTGGTTTTCTGCTGGTGGGAAGATTTAAAAAGTCTCTTTCAAATGAAGGTTGATTCTTTGGGAATGGATTCCCTCCAGAGGTTGTGGGTGCTCCATCACTCGAGGCATGTAACAGAGTTGGAAGGAACCTTAGAGGTCTTCTATTCCAACCCCCTGCTCAAGCAGGAGACCCTATACCATTTCAGACAAATGGCTGTCCCATCTCTTTAAAAGCCACCACTGATGGAGCATCCACAACTTCTGAAGGCAAACCGTTCCATTGGTTAATTGTCCTCACTATTCGGAAGTTTCTTCTTAATTCCAGGTTGCTTCTCTCCTTGATCAATTTCCATCCACTTGTTCTTGTCTTGCTTTCTGGTGCTTTGGAAATAAGTTGACCCCTTCTTCTTGACCCCTCAAGTATTGGAATACTGCTTTCATATCATCCCTAGTCCTTCTCTGGATTAAACTAGATATATCCAATTCCTGCAACCCTTCTTTATATGTTGTAGCTTCCAGCCTCTAATCATCCTTGCTGCTCTTCTCTGTGCTCTTTATAGAGTCTGAACACGTTTTTTATATTGTGGTGGTCAAAACTGGATGCAGTATTCCAAGTGTGGTCTTACCAAGGCATTATAAATTGGTACTTCATGTGATCTTGATTTTATCCCTCTTTTTAGGCAGCCTAGGATTGCATTGGCTTTTTTGGCCACTGCATCACACTGCTGGCTCATATTTAAGTGATTCTCCACTAGGACTTCAAGATCCCTCTCTCAGTTACTGCTATTGAATCAGATTCCACCTATTCTGTACCTTGACATTTGGTTTTTGTTGGCAATGAACTTCATTTTTTTTAGATAGGGCCCAGTGTTCAAATATATTAAGATTCTTCTGTATCTTGAGTTTGTCTTCTGGGGTGTTGGCTATTCCTGCCAGCTTAGTGTCATCTCCAAATTTGATGAGTTCCCCTTCTATTCCCTCATCTAAATTGTTTATGAAGATATTGAAGAATAGTAAGCCTAAGATAGAGCCTTGGGGTATCCCACTGCTTACTCCCCTCCATATAGACTTAGTTCCATTAAGGACTACACATTGAATGTGGCTTATCAGCCAGTCACAAATCCATCTAATTGTGATGCTATCTGTCCCACATTTTTTTTTATTTATCAAGAAGTACATTGTGGTCTACTTTACAAATGCCTTCCTGAAATTCCAGTATACCTTGTCCAAAACATTTTGCTGGTCCACTTTTAATCACTGTATTAAAGAAGAAATAAGATATGTTTGGCATGATCTTTTTTGACAAACTCATGTTGCCTTGTGGTTATAAGTTTGCTTGCAGATCTTTTGCTTGATTGTCTTTTCCAGGATCTTCTCAGACATTGATATTTTAATAATAATAATAATAATAATAATGTTGGAAGGGGCCTTTAAGGTCATCTAGTCCAACCCCTTGTTCAGGCAGGAAACCCTATATCATTTCAAACAAATGGCTGTCCAGTCTCTTCTTTAAAACTTCCAGTGTTGGAGTATTCACAGCTTCTGGAGGCAGGTTGTTCCACTGATTAATTGTTCTGTCAGAAAGTTTCTCCTTAGTTCTAGGTTGTTTCTCTCCTTGATTAGTTTCCGTCCGTTGCTTCTTGTCCTGCCTTCAGGCGTTTTGGAGAATAGCTTGACTCCCTCTTCTATGTGGCAGCCCCTGAGATATTGGAACACTGCTATCATGTCCCCTCTCGTCCTTCTCTTCATTTAACTATACATACCCAATTCCAGCAGCCGTTCCTTATATGCTTTAGTCTCCAGTCCCCTAATCATTTTTGTTGCTCTTCTCTGTACTCTTTCTAGAGTCTCAACATCTTTTTTACATCGTGATGACCAAAACTGGATGCAGTATTCCAATGTGTCAAATGAATCATAATTAATGTAAGAGGCTATTTTAGCATTGTGGCATGTTTGCTTTTTATTTGTATACTTTTTCACATCTTCTGCAACCATTCTATAAACAAATAAAACTTTTCTTTGAATCTTATAGACAAAGATGATGCCAATAAGAGCATTCCGAACAATTGAGAATAACAAGCAACATTAAAAAGGAAAGCAAATAAAGCCAGAAATCAAAATGTTTTCCATTTCCTTCAGAAAACCACACAATTCTTCTCCTTCCCTAGCAGGTGAGAAACAAAAGAGAGAAAATCAAGAAGAGATTTCAAGTTGGAAAAAGTAGAGTATGCAGAACTCAAGGATATCTTACATGAAAAGGTCAAGGTCAACCATTTCAGAAAAAAGAGGGAAATATCTGGAAGTCAGTGGGGAGGAAAAGGTAAATTGGGAAGCCATAGCAGGTAGATCATAATGCAGGCCTTGCTCTAGGAGCAAGAAAATAGTAGCTTCCACCAAAGCAACACTAAACAAGGGGACGCACATAATTTTAACCTCAAGAATATTACTGCTGGAAAAGCTACACCGATGAGCATATTGTGGGGAAAAGTGCAATTTGAAATCACAAATGATTATGCACAAAATGATCCACATTGAAGAAAAGCCATACAAATACTCTGAATATATCAAAAGCCCTTCTCAAAAAAGCTCCCTGGTGATTCATGGAAGGACCCACAAAGGAGTAGAGCCCACAAGTGCTCCCAATGCAGTAAATTATTTGTGAGCACGACCACGTGGTGATACATTGCACGACTCACTCCAGTGAGAAACCCTTTCAATGCTCTGATTGTGGGGAAAGTTTCAGTCAGAACTCCAGCCTGGTGATACACCAGAGGATGCACACAGAAAAGAAATCATACAAGTGTCCTGATTGCGGGAAAAGTTTCATTGCAAATTCCCACCTTGTGAGACACCAGAGGACTCACACAGGAGAGAAACCCTTTGAATGTCCTGATTGTGGGAAAGGTTTCAGTCAGAAGTCTAGCCTGGTGATTCACCAGAGGTCTCACACAGGAGAGAAACCCTTTGAATGTCCTGATTGTGGGAAAGGTTTCAGTGGGAATTCAGACTTGGTGAAACACCAGAGAACTCACACAGGAGAGAAACCCTTTGAATGTCCTGATTGTGGGAAAAGTTTCTATCAGAATTCTAGCCTGGTGATACACCAGAGGACACACCTAGGAGAGAAACCATATGAGTGTCCAGATTGTGGGAAAAGTTTCAGTCAGAATTCCAACCTGGTGATGCACCAGAGGACTCATATAGGAGAGAAACCATATGAGTGCCCAGATTGTGGGAAAACTTTCAGTCAATATTCCTACCTGGTGAAACATCAGAGGACTCATACGGGAGAAAAACCATACGAGTGTGCAGATTGTGGGAAAAGATTTGGTCAGAATTCCTACCTTGTGAAACACCAGAGGATTCACACAAGAGAGAAATTGTATGAGTGTCCAGATTGTGGAGAAAGTTTCATTAGAAAATTCCAACTCATGAGTCACAAGAGGACACATACAGGAGAGAAACCCTTTGAATGTTCTGATTGTGGGAAAAGTTTCAGTCACTATTCCAGCCTGGTGAAAAATCAGAGGACTCACACAGGAGAGAAACCCTTTGAATGTGCTCTTTGTGGGAAAAGTTTCAGTCAGAATTCCAGCCTAGTGATACACCAGAGGACTCACATGGGAGAGAAACCATATGAGTGTCCAGTTTGTGGGAAAACTTTCAGTCATAATTCCAACCTGGTGAAACACCAGAGGACTCACACAGGAGAAAAACCCTTTGAATGTCCTGATTGTGGGAAAAGCTTCACTCAGAATTATGAACTGGTTAAACACCGGAGAAATCACACTGGAGAGAAACCGTATGAGTGTCCAGATTGTGGGAAAAAATTCAATTATAATTCCAACCTAGTGAACCACCAGAGGTCTCACACAGGAGAGAAACTGTATGAGTGTCCAGAGTGTGGAAAAAGTTTTAGTCAGAATTCCAATCTGGTGAGACATCAGAGGACTCACATAGGAGAAAAATATGGGTGTCCTGATTGCGGGAAAAGTTTCATTGCAAATTCCCAATTCGTGAGACACCAGAATACTCACATAGGAGAGAAACCCTTTGAATGTCCTATTTGTGGGAAAAGTTTCAGTCGATTTTACAGCCTGGTAAACCACCAAAGGACTCACACAGGAGAGAAACCTTTTCAATGTCCTGATTGTGGGAAAACTTTCAGTCAGAATTCCAGCCTGATGATACACCAGAGGACTCACACAGGGGAGAAACCGTATCAGTGTCTGGTTTGTGGGAAACGTTTTAGTCACAATTCAAACTTAGTGAAACACCAGAGGACTCACATGGGGGATACCTTTCAAATGTCCAGTCTGTGGACAGTACTTCAGGTGTAAATCACTCTTTATTTTATACAAGGAAATCAACATGAGGCAAAAGTTGATAAATTTAGAGAAGGCTTGAATTTCATTTCTGATCTCCCATTGAGAGTGTGGGTGAAAAATTGACTATTTGTATTCTGCCCTGATACTTTTTAGTCAACATATCTCATGATTGTACCTATAATAGTGGAAAATAAATGGAGTTTGATAAAAGCTAATTACCTGTTTCTGGTTATCAGCAAAAGTTTCTGAATATTTTTTTTTTTGCAGAACTTCCTCAAATTGACTTGTGTGTTATGTTTTTTGTATATTGATTATAAAATTCCCACATGTGGAGTTTCCATCTTCTAACTTTTGTCCTCCAGATTTTGAGCGACAGAATTCTCCAGCCACCATACAAGTAGTCCTCGAGATACAATTGTAATTAGGCCTGCCAATTTCAGTTACATGTTGTAATGGTGGTTAGAACAATGGAATGGAATGGGGATCTAGTCCAACCCCCTGCCCAAGCAGGAGACTCTACACCATTTATGATAGATGGCAGTCCAGTCTCTTCTTGAAAGCCTTCAGTGTTGAAGCTCCCACAACTTCTGGAGACAAGCCGTTCCATTGGTTGATTGTTCTCATTGTCAGAAAATGTCTCTGATTCATTTCCATCTATTGTTCCTTGTCTGGCCTTCAGGTGTTTTGGAAAATAGGTTGACCCCCTCCTCTCTGTGACAGCTCCCCAAATATTGGAACACTATCATGTCTCCCCTGGTCCTTCTTTTCACTAGACTAGCCATGCCCAGTTCCTGTAACCATTCTTCATATGTTTTAGCCTTTAGCCCTTAATCATCTTTGTTGCCCTTCTCTGTACTCTAGAGCAGTGGTTCTCAACCTTTTTAATGCCGCGACCCCCAACCGGTCGTAAGTTGAGGACTATTCAACTGGTCGTAAGTCGAGGACTACTCAACTGGTGCAGCACCGTTTGCAAAATGGGACTTTTGGCGGGCTCAGCAGGGCAGAGACAGCCTGGACAATTCCTATTGGCTTTTGAAAGCCAATAGAATTAGACTCTATTCAAGAGAGTCTATTCTATTGGCTTTCCAAAGCCAATAGAATAAAAGGGAGTAGCACAGCTAAGGAAAAGGGAAAAAAAATGGCGGGCTGTGTTGTTTGGCAACCCCCGTGAAATGGTCGTTCGACCCCAAATGGGGTCCCGACCCACAGGTTGAGAACCACTGCTCTAGAGTCTGAACATCTTTTTTATAGTGTGGAGACCAAAGCTGGATGCATTATTCTAGGTGTGGTCTTTCTAAGGCTTTATAGAATGGTATTAGTACCTCCTGTGATCTTGATTGAATCCCTCTGTTAATGCAACTTAAGATTGCATTGGTTTTCTTGGCTACCGCCACCACACTGTTGGCTCATATTTAATTGATTGTCCACTAACATTCCAAGATTCCTCTCACAGTTACTGCTATTAGGTTTGGTTTCACCCAATCTATATGTATACTTTTGGTTAAGACTTTACTTTTCTCTACACTGAATTTCATTTTGTTCGATAGGGCCCACTGTTCAAGTCTGTCAAGATCCATCTAGATCTTGAGCCTATCATCTAGGTCAGGGGTATCAAACTCACCACATTACGTGACGTATTGTGACTATCATAACATTTTTTGCCTTTGTGGAGCTGGGGTGGGCATGGCATCCTTCCCGTGGGCTGGAGGTTTGACATCCCTGAGCTAGGGTGTTGGCTATTCCTATCAGCTTAGTATCATCTGCAAATTTGGTAAGTTCCCCTTCTATTCCCTCATCTAAGTCATTTATGAAGATATTGAAGAGTACTGGGCCTAAGACGGAACCTTGTGATTCCCCACTGCTTACTTCCCTCCATGTAGACCTAGTACCATTAAGGACTAATCGTTGAGTACGGTTTGTCAGCCAGTTACAGCCAGTCTGATGGCTGTATCTCACTTTTTTCTAGTTTACTAAGAAGTAGGTTGTGCTCTACTTTGTTGAATGCCTTGCTGAGGTCTAAATATACTATGTCCACAGGATTTTTCTGGTCTACTAATTGTCACTTTGTCAAAGAATTAAATAAGATTGATTTGGCATGATCTGTTTTTAACAAACCTGTGCTGACTTTTAGTTATTACTTTACTCATTCCTAAATGTTTGCAGATCTGTTTTTTTATTATCTTTTTCAGTAGCTTCCCGAGTATTGATGTTAGGCTGATTGGTCTGTAGTTTCCTGAGTCTGTTTTTTTTTCTTTCCTTTTTTGAAGATGGCAACCACATCAGCTCTTTTCTAGTCTTCTGGTAGATCCCCCGTACTCCAGGATTTTTGAAGAAAATGGAAAATATTTTGATTTCTGGCTGGTTTTGCTTTCCTTTCCAATATTGCTTGTTATTCTCAGTTGTCCAGAGTGCTCTTATTGTCATCCTCTTTGTCTATAAGATTCAAAAAAAAGTGTAACTTCAATCATTTATAAAATGGTTGCAGAAGATGTCAAAAAAGAAAAAAGTATATATTACAATAAATAAGGAAACATGCCACATTGCTAGAATAACCTCTTACATTAATTATGTTTGATTTGACACATGGAAATCCAAGTTCCCATATTAATTGTCATGAAATTCTCTCTTTCACTTGTGTCATTCAAATTCTTAGCACTACAAAGAGTTATCATCAAATATATCTGGAAGTGCTGGGGATAGATTATACACTTGTAAATATATGCATGTGTGTGTGATACTCCAAACACTCCAGGCTTAAATTGCTGCCAAAGGTGGTTCAAAAAGATACTGAGTGAAGGGTCTGAATACTTTTGCTGAGGTGATACTTCAGTTTTTTCTTTTTAATAAATTTACAGGCATTTCTAAACTTTTGTTTTCACTTTGTCATTATATGGGGCACTGAATGTAGATTAATGAGAAAAAAAATGAATTTCAAAGTTTGTAGAATCAGGCTGCAGCATAACAAGATTGACAAAAGTGAAGGGGGTCTGAATACATTCTGAATGCAAGTATATCACAGAAGCCCCTTGATCTCTTTGGAAGGATGTTTGTAAAAAACAGTGCAGATCTTTTTCTTTTAGTGTAGTAGATTATACAGCCCGTAAAAGAATTCAGAATTAATATTGAAAACCTCCGTGGTGCTGTTCACTTAATGGGCAGAGAGAAACAGGGACGGAGCAGTCACCAGAGAGGGAATCTGGGCATGTAAGAGAGGCAGATTCAGGAGCTCCATCTCAAAGCAAGCCCACCTGGACAGGGCTGCCCATTGGCCAATCCCACATGGACGCCTCTCGGGTCCTCCTCACCCGCCTTCCAGATGCCCCTGACCTAGCACGTTCATGCCCTCAGAAGGGAGCCCCTTCCAGCCACGCTCCCTCTGAGCTCGGATCTCCCTGAGTCCTCTTCCTTCCCTCCAGACACTGGGAAGCTGATTCTCCACAGCAGTGACAGGGGAACGTGGGAACGGCGGTGCTCAACTTTCCGGGAAACACCAGGAACCCCCACGCTGGGAGCCGGGCTGCGCCAAGAGGTTGGGTTGTGGGGCAGGAGGAGAGATTGGGGGAGGGATTTGAAGGGGGTTGGAGAGCCGTTTGCGGAAGTATCACGAAGGAGGAGGAGAAGTGGAGGCTCAGCGGTTCCCACGGAGCAGAAAAGCTCGCAAGGAAAGGGGGAGACTCGGAAGGGGAGGGGGCGCAACTAGGGGAAATTCACCTCGCTCTCCCTTCCTCCCCTGAGGAATCCCTCCTCCCTTTCCGCCCCTGGGGATTCCCCCCCCCTCCTCTCCTTCCCCCTCTCGCAACGTCCTTGCCCACCTGGCGCCCCTTGAGCAGGGGGAATCTCCGCAGTGCTGCCGTAAGAGACGTCTGGAGACCTGGGAGGGGCCGAAAACTGACTCCAGATCTCCTTTCCCCCCCTTTTCCTACCTCCTCTCTAGGCGCAAGAGAAAGGTTCTCTGCATTTAACCCCTTCGGGGAACCCGCTGTGAGGAGGGGGTGACTGGAGCATCGCCGGGCAATGCCAAAGTGCTCTAGTCAGGGCCCGCAAAAGACCCCCATCCCCAAGGGACGGCCGAAAGATGAAAAACAAAGGGATTAAAACAGTGGTTCTCAACCTGTGGATCGGGACCCCATTTGGGGTCGAACGACCATTTCACGGGGGTCGCCAAACAATGCAGTCCACCATTTTTCCCCCTTTTCCTTAGCTGTGCTACTCCCTTTTATTCTATTGGCTTTGGAAAGCCAATAGAATAGTCTCTCCTGAATAGAGTCTAATTCTATTGGCTTTCAAAAGCCAATAGGAATTGTCCAGGCTGTCTCTGCCCTGCTGAGCCCACCAAAAGTCCCCTTCTGCAAACGGTGCTGCACCAGTTGAGTAGTCCTCGACTTAGGACCGGTTGAGTAGTCCTCGACTTACGACTGATTGGGGGTCGCGGCATTAAAAAGGTTGAGAACCACTGGATTAAAGAAAATAGTTGCATGTGCTAATTGGCATCTCTAAATGCAAATTGGAATAGAGTTGCACGTTCCCCAGGTACAAAACGAAATTAATCACAACAACGCTTTAATCACAATGCCAGCCTGAGGGAATTTCATGCAACCTCTTTTCCAAACTGCTATCAGCATTTGCAGTTAATTTTCAGAGATTTCAAATGGAGAGGGAGGCCACAAGGGACAGTGTATCCTTCCTGTTTGATTGGCAGCAGCATATTTAACTGTAGTGCTGAGGGAGGTTTCAAGCAGCTGTTACTTGTTGGCACCTCTATTTGGTTGCTAACTGAGGTTGCATTGAAGTTCCATACTGTTTATAGTTTGTAGTCTCACAAAGAGGAGCTTTGGGAGAAGTGCCCTGCCCTCAGGATTTCTGTTGACAGCTTGCTGGTTATTTTGGAACTCTACCGCTGCAAAATATGGCTTTAAAGGAAAAATAACAAGAGGAAAAAATGGAATGGCTCCTTTACGAAGAAATACAAAAGGTCCATTAAAAGAAGCTTTTTGCTTGTTTATTCACAAGAAAGGAACTCATTCCCAATCAGGCACTTTCCAGAAGGAATGGCATGATAAATTAAAACCTCCCTGTACTTTTCAGCATTCATGATCCCATCAATATTGCCAGCACCACTGACAGAAATGTAGCCCCAAACCATGACAGACAATTCATTATGTCTCTCTGGAGACTGCAAACACTCATTTGTCCATCTCTCTCCATCTCTTCTCACATATTGTTGACAATTGGATTCAAAAAATTTAAACTTGGATTCATCATTGGATAATACTCTTTTCCACTGATCCTTAGTCCAATTTTTGTGAGCTTCAGCATATTTTACCATTTCACCCCGTTCCACTTCTGCAAGTATGGTGTCTTGGCTGCTACCCACCCACAAAGGCCATTCCTGATTGAGCTTCTTCAGACTCTAGAAAGGTCAATTTGGCCTCCCGATGAAGTTGCCGGATGCTGAGCCAGGTCCTTGGTGGATTTCCTCTGATTTCTCAAAGGAATTTCTCATCAGAATTTGAAAGTTTCCTTGGCCTTCAAATCCTGTTTTTTTTTTTTTGTCCTTGACGTCTCCTGCTTCCTCAGATTTCCTTATGACAGTTTGAATATCTATGCAGATTCTCAATCATCCAGATCGTGGTTGTCCAAAGGTGTTTTTCAAAAGGCAGCTGGACTTTCTTAGTTTTTTCCCTTTAAAAAGTTTCGCTTCTCATTTAAGAAGCTTAAGTTTGGAGGAATCTGTAGAATCTTCTTGGATGGCGGTCATATAGGCAACATTTGTGTCTAGAACAGTGGTTCTCAATCTTTTTAATGCTGTGACCCCCAACCGGTCGTAAGTCGAGGACTACTCAACCGGTTGTAAGTCGAGGATTACTCAACTGGTGCAGCACCATTTGCAGAATGGGACTTTTGGCGGGCTCAGCAGGGCAGAGACAGCCTGGACAATTCCTATTGGCTTTTGAAAGCCAATAGAATTAGACTCTATTCAAGAGAGTCTATTCTATTGGCTTTCAAAAACCAATAGAATAAAAGGGAGTAGCACAGCTAAGGAAAAGGGGAAAAAATGGCGGACTGCGTTGTTTGGCGACCCCCATGAAATGGTTGTTCGACCCCAAATGGGGTCCCGACCCACAGGTTGAGAACCACTGGTCTAGAAAGTAGACAATACCATGGGCGATATCTGTGATTGAGCTTAAAGGAGTTAAAACCATAGAGTATTGTATTGCTAGAAAGGATGGCAGGAGCCGGAAAGCGCAGAGGAACTTCCTCTTCGGGATCACTCATGGGAGGAGGATGGTGTGCAGAGCGGCTTTTGTGCTCTTCCAAGGAGCGAAGCAGCAGCTGAAAGGTGAGTTGAGGGCAGGTCGGAGGAGAAGCCGGGAGCAAGCGGGGCTTTTGGGTTTTCTTCACGGAGTCCAAGCAGAGAAATAAACGAGGCTGAAGCATGTTAGCTGCTGCTGCTCCATTTTCCTTCCCTCCCCAAATTTAAGTCCACTGGTGCTGCAGGCTGTTAAACTGGGGGCTGCAATTTTCTGCTGATGGGAAGATCTAAAAAAGTCTCCTTCTAGTGAAGGTTGATTCTTTGGCAATGTCTTCCCTCCAAAGGTGGGTGCTCCATCACTGCAGATTTGTAAAAAAAGTAACAAAGTTGGAAGGAACCTTGGAGGTCTTCTAGTCCAACCCCCTGCTCAAGCAGGAGACCCTATACCATTTCAGCCAAATGGCTGTCCAGTCTTTTCTTAAAAGTCTCTAGTGATGGAGCATCCACAACTTCTGAAGGGAAGCCCTTCCCCTGGTTAATTGTTCTCACTGTTAGGAAGTTTCTCCTTAGTTCTAGGTTGCTTCTCCATTCTTTCTTGTCTTGCCTTCTGGTGATTTGAAAAATAAGTTGACACCGTCGTCTTGCCCCCTCAAGTATTGGAACACTGTTATCATGTCACCCAGACCTTCCTTTCACCAGTCTAGACATACCCAATTACTGTAACCGTTATTTATATGTTTTAGTCTCTAGCACCGTTGCTGCTCTTCTCTGTGTTCTTTATAGAGTCTCAACACCTTTTTAATACTGTGGTGACCAAAACTGGATGCAGTATTCCAAGTGTGGCCTTACCAAAGCATTAAAAATTGGTACTATACTTCACATCATCTTGATTCTGTCTCTCTGTTTCAGCAGCCTAGGATTGCATTAGCTTTTTTGGCCACAGCATCATGCTGTTGGCTCATATTTAAGTGATTGCCCATTAGGACTTCAAGATCCCTCTCTCAGTTATTGCTATTGAGTCAGATTCCACATATTCTGTATCTTGACATTTGGTTTTTCTTGGCATTGAATTTCATTTTTTTAGATAGGCCCAGTGTTCAAATATATTGAGATTCTTTTGTATCTTGAGCTTGTCTTCTGTGGTGTTGGCTATTTCTGCCAGCTTAATGTCATCTTTGAATTTGATGAGTTCCCCTTCTATTCTCTCATCTAAATTGTTTATGAAGATATTAAAGAGTAGTGAGCCTAAGATAGAGCCTTGGGGTATCCCAGTGCATACTTCATATAGTTTTAGTTCCATTAAGGACCACACATTGAGTGCGGTTTGTCAGCCAGTCACAAATCCATCTACTGGTGATGCTATCTATCCCACATTTTTTTTACTTACAAGAAGTAGATTGTGGTCTACTTTACAAATGCCTTACTGCAATTCCAGTATACCTTGTCCACAGCATTTTGCTGGTCCACTCATTTTATCAAAGAAGAAATAAGATTTGTTTGGCATGATCTTGTTTTGACAAACCCATGTTGGCTTCTGGTTATAAGTCTGCTTGCTTCTAGGTGTTTACAGATCTTTTGTTTGATTATCTTTTCCAGGATCTTCTCAGGCATTGATGGCAGACTGATTGGTCTGTAGTTTTGTGAATTTTGCTCCTTTTTTGAAGATGGGAACTATATCAGTGTTCTGACCAAAGTCACTATGGCAAGGCAACCTTTAAGTAGCGCCTGTTTATTAATAAGATAACTTTTATTGTCATTTTTTTATTGTGAGCACAGTGGCCACATGAAAAAGGAAATTCTGTTGTCTGCTCTCAAGAGAATATATATATATATATATATATATATATATATATATATATATATATATATATCTACCCATAAACATAACACAAACATTCACATTCTATATATATACATAAATTTATACCTTCATCTATACACACACACACACACACACACGTATGTATATGTGTTTGTGTATATATATATTAATCACTGTCCATTTTCAATATATAGTAGAAAGAGGAAACTTGAGAATTCACAAGGTTGATGCTAGATGCAGGGATCTCTAACCTGTGGGCTGTAGCCCACTTCCGGGCCACAGCCTATTGGTCATTGAGCCACATGAGTGGCTGACCAGTGCGTGTGTGTGCATGTGTGCAGCCCCACTTGTGCATCACTGCAAGTGTCATGGGCATTTACAGCCCCCTTCGTGTGTTGCCGTGGGCATTCGAGGCTGCACTCATGTGAGTGTTGTCATAGGCATTTGCGGGCCCCACTTGTGCAAGTGTCACCACAGGCATTTGTGACTACATTTGTGCGAATGTTGCGGGCATTTGCAGCCCCCTTCGCATGTCGCCATGGGCATTCAAGGCCACGCTCATGTCATGGGCATTTGCGGGCCCCACTTGTGCAATGTCACTGTGGGCATTTGTGCGAATATTGTGGGCATTTGCAGCCACACTCACGTGAGCTTTGTAACAGGTGCAAGCGCTCATGGCCCCACTCACACGAGCAACGGGTGTTTGTACACACACACAAACACACCCAACAAAACCATCCCTTCTTTTCCCGCTCTCCCAGCTCTGGGCTGCCAACCCTGAAAGGTTGGGGAACTCTGCTACAGGGAACAAAACCGTGGCTGAATGTTCTGCTTCAGATACAACAAAACCTCCTCCCAGAATGTAACCAGGAAAACAAATAATGAAGAGGATGTGTAGTGTCCTGGACAACCCTGCAGACTCTGCTCAAGCATCGCTTATATGTTATGTCCTGGACAGAACACTTGCTCATTACCACAGTGTGAAATGACCCACCAGTGGTACCAGTGAAGCTCCGCCCCAGCCCTCAGGTCCCAGTCTGGATTCCCCTGCTCTACAAACTAGGTTCTAGCTGACCATGAGGCAAAGAGGGAAGTAACGATAGCCACAAGTCCAGAGTTCCACCAAGAAAAGCACAGTCCGAGAGTCAAATCCAAAGTATACAAGCAATTTCTGAGGTTCAGAGTCCAAAAACACAATTTACAAAGACATGATCCAGTAAAGCCAGGAAGGTGCACATCAAAACAAGCAGGTGTTCCTGACAAACACACCTTCACCCAGCATCTGATTAAATCATCCTTCCCAAGCTTTCCTTGTGAGGAGGGATGGGGCTGCTTCGTCTCAGTAGCCTTGCTGACCTCCTGTGCATTGAATGGGGGAGGCAGTTGTTCCTAATCAGAGGTGATCTGGAGTCTGTCATCTCTGCTGGCCCTCTGTAGCTGCTCTGCTCCTGCAGGCAGCATTCTGTCAGGTTGGCTGCCCCCTCCCCACTGCCAGACAGCCCTGGGACTGTCTCATCTTCAGTCCCTCGACTCTCCATCATTCAGAGGAGACCGTGCTCTCCCTGTCGGACAGCCTGGTTCCAACTCCTACTCCCAACTGGGATCCGATGAAGCCATGACAATCAGCTTTTTTCTAGTCCACTGGGAGTTCCCAGGTGCTCAAGGATCTTTGAAAGATATGGTTCAAGGGTTCTGAGATCAGGTCTGCCAGTTCCTTCAGAACTCTGGGATGTAATGAATCTGGTCCTGATGATTTGAAGGTGTTCTCTTCTTGCCTATTTTAATTTGTATCCCCAGTCTGTTTTTTAGAGTTGTTTTTCGTGGGTTGAACTATTTTTTTTTGTGTGTGTGAAAAAGGATGCAAAGAATGAATTAAGCAGCCCCACTTTCTCCCTGCTCCCAGTCATTTCCTTGCCATCTTTTCCCATTAGTGGACCGATTATTTCCTTGACTTAATTTCTCGTATTTTACATGTTGAAAGAAACTTGTTAAAAATTATTTTTGACATTTGTGGCAAGCCTTAGTTCAGTTTCAGCCTTAGCTATCCTGATTTTGGATTCAGGCTATATGCTGCTATTCTGTCTATTCATCTAGTCCAGTGGTTCTCAACCTGTGGGTCGGGACCCCATTTGGGGTCGAACGACCATTTCACGGGGGTCGCCAAACAAGGCTGTCCATCACTTTCCCCCCCTTTTCTTTGGCCACGCCCCTGGCACCCGGTGATGTATAAGTGGTTGGGGGTCACCACAACATGGGGAACTGTATTATGGGGTCGCGACATTAGAAAGGTTGAGAACCACTGATCTAGTCCAACCCCCTGCTCAGGCAGGAAACCCCATACCATTTCAGACAAATGGCTATCCAGTCTCTTCTTAAAAACCTCCAGTGCTGGAACATTCACCACTTCTGGAGGCAGGTTGTTCCACTGGTTAATTGTTCTGTCAGGAAGTTTCTCCTTAGTTCTAGGTTGTTTCTTTCCTTGATTAGTTTCCATCCGTTGCTTCTTGTCCTGCCTTCAGGCGTTTTGGAGAATAGATTGACACCCTCTTCTTTATGGCAGCCCCTGAGATATTGGAATATTGCTATTCTTCCTAACACTGATAGTTGTAAGTTTTTCCATTTCTCTAGATCTAATTTTATTTGATTAAGTAATGTTATAATAATAATAATAATAATAATAATAATAATAATAGTAGTAGTAGTAGTAGTAGTAGTAGTAGTAGTAATAGTAAAGTTGGAAGGGACCTTGGAGGTCATCTAGTCCAACCTCCTGCTCAGGCAAGAAACCCTACACCATTTTGGACAAATGGCTGTCCAGTCTCTTCTTAAAAACTTCCAGTGTTGGAGCATTTACTGCTTCTGGAGAAAGGCTGTTCCACTGATTAATTGTTCTCACTGTCAGGAAGTTTCTCCTTGGTTCTAGGTTGCTTCTCTCCTTGATTAGTTTCCACCCGTTGCTTCTTGTCTTGCCTTCAGGTGCTTTGGAAAATAGCTTGATTCCCTCTTCTTTATGGCAGCCCCTGAGATATTGGAATACTGCTATCATGTTCCCCCTTGTCCTTCTCTTCATTAAACTAGACATACCCAATTCTAGCAACCGTTCTTTATATGTTTTAGCCTCCAGTCCCCTAATCATCTTTGTTGCTCTTCTCTGTACTCTTTCTAGAGACTCAACATCTTTTTTACATCGTGGTGACCAAAACTGGATGCAGTATTCCAAGTGTGGCCTTACCAAGGCATTGTAGAGTGGTATTAATACTTCACATGATCTTTATTCTATCCCTCTGTTAATGCAGCCTAGCACTGTGTTGGCCTTTTTGGCAGCTGCAGCACACTGTTGACTCATATTTAGGTGATTGTCTACTAGGACTCCAAGGTCCCTCTCACAGTTACTACTGTTGAGCATGGTGCCACCTATGCCGTACTTGTGCATTTGGTTTTTCTTGCCTAAATGTAGAACCTTGCTTTTTTTACCATTGAATTTCATTTTGTTAGTTAGTGCCCAGTGTTCAAGTCTGTCCAGATCCTTCTGTATCTTAAGCCTGTCTTCTGGATTGTTGGTTATTCCTGCCAGCTTGGTGTCGTCTGCAAATTTGATGAGTTCCCCATCTATCTCTTCATCCAAATCATTGATGAAGATGTTGAAGAGCACTGGGCCAAGAACAGAGCCCTGGGGCACCCCACTACACACTTCCCTCCATGTAGATGCAGTTCCATTGAGGACCACATGCTGAGTACGGCCGGTTAGCCAGCTGCAAATCCATGTGGTGGTGATGCTTCTAACTCACATTTTTCTATCTCACCAAGTAGTAGGTTGTGATCTACTTTATCAAATGCCTTACTGAAGTCCAAGTAAATTATGTCCACAGCATTCCTCTGATCCACTAATTTTGTCACTTGGTCAAAGAATGCAATAAGATTTATCTGGCATGATCTGTTTTTGATAAACCCATGTTGGCTTTTAATAATGACTTTGTTCGTCTCTAGGTGTTTGCTGATTTCTTGTTTGATTATCTTTTCCAGAATCTTCCTAGATATTGAGGTCAGGCTGATAGATCTGTAATTTCCTGGGTCCATTTTTTTTCCTTTTTTGAAGATGGGAACATCAGCTTTTTTCCAGTCCTCTGGTATTCCCCAGTGCTCCAGGATCTTTGAAAAATATAATTCAGTGGTTCTGAGATCACATCTGCCAGTTACTTGAGAACCTTGGGGTGTAATTCATCTGGTCCTGGTGATTTGAATTCATCTATGGTGGACAGGTGCTCACTTACCATTTTCTTGCCTATTTTAACTTGTGTTTCAAATCTGTTTTTTATGGCACTATTTTTGATAGGTTGGACTGTTTTTTCCCTTTGTGTAAAGACAAATGCAAAAAACGAGTTAAATAGTTCTGCTTTCTCCCTGTTGCTTCTCACCTTCTTGCCAATTTCCCTCACTAATGGATCAATCATTTCCTTAACTTTTTTCTTGTTTTTTATATGTTGAAGGAAGCTTTTTTTGTTATTTTTTACTTTTGTCACAAGCCTTAGTTCATTTTGAGCCTTAGCTTTCCTCACTTCACCTTTGCAAGCGCAAATACTTATTAGTTATGTGCCCTTCTTTCCATTTTTTTATACTTGTCCTTTTTATCTTTCAATTTATCGGAGAGTTCTTTATGCAGCCATGCTGGTTTCTTTTGAGAGTTGTTATTTTTCTTCTTTATTGGTATTATACTAGACTGGGCTTTTATTATCTCACTTTTCAAAATTTCCTAAGCTTCTTGAGTTGTTTTCCCTTTGAGGATTCTCATCCATGGAATCCTTCCCAAACCCTCTCTGATTTTATTGAAATTAGCTCTCTTAAAGTCCAAGACTCTAGTTTGATTGTGTTCTATTGCTTGTGCTTCCATAATGTTGAATTCCAATATTGCATGATCACTTCCTCCCAAGGTTCCTGTAGCTTCAACACCTTTTATCATTTCATCTCTGTTAATGAGAATTAAATCTAATATGGCTAATCCCCTAGTTCCCTTCTCTACTTTTTGGGAGACAAAGTTGTCTGCTAGGTTTGTCAGGAATCTGTTTGATCTTCCACTTGGTGCAGAGTTTGTCTCCCAGTTGATGTCAGGGTAATTAAAGTCCCCCATTGCTATTGTGATGTGCTTCCTATATATCTTAGTTAGCTGACTAGCAAAAAGTTCATCTATTTCCTCTGTTTGGTTGGGTGGCCTTTAGTATACACTTATGGCAATGTCATTTCCCCCCCTTTTATATTGACCCAAATGCATTCAAGACAGTTTTCATTATTGTTGTGCTCTATTTCTGTAGAGATGTAGTTATTTCTTATATAGAGAGCAACTCCACCTCCTCTTTTATTTGGTCTGTTTCTTTTAAATAATTTAAATCCCTCTAGTGTGTGTTCCAGTTGTGGGTTTCATCCCACCATGTTTCCGTAATGACAACAATATCATATCTGCCCTCATTAACCTGAATTTCTAGTTCACCCTATTTACTGTTCATACTCTGTGCATTGGTGCATAGACATTTGAGTCCTTTATGACTGACCCTGTGTTTACTTTCTACATAACCTGTGTGGTGCCTGAGTTCCCCTATTATCTTATCACCTGTTTGGTTAGTGCACTTTCAGTGGCACTTGATACTAAAAGCTTGATTTTGCTTGACAGCAAGGTTGATATTCTTGTCCATACACACATCTATGTTACATGTAGTGATAGCCTTATAATTTTTAGATTGCCGGGGACAGGGATGTTCTGTATCAATTAATTCACTGTCCCCATTGTTTTCCTTCAGAAAATCTGTGAATTTATTGCTGAGTAACTCAGTCACTTTCTTTGATGGATACAAACCATCTCTTTTGTACATTTTTTCATTGGATCAGCTACAGACATCGTGACTAATACAACCAAAGCCTTCCCCTTTACACCACTCCTTTAGCCACATATTGAATTCTGCTATACGCTGGCCTTTTCGATTTTGCTCCTTATACACTGGTAAAACCTCTGAAAAAGTAAGCCTACAGCCTATCCTGCTAAGTTCCTGCTCCAAGCTCTGGAAACCATTCTACACAGAGTGTACATCTTTTTGGGACAGATTGTTAGTGCCAAGATGTACAATAGCATCCACATCACAGTCCTTGCTGGCATTCTTGACTATTTTAAAAATGCGCTTCTTGTCCTTACTGGCAGTAGCACCTGGAAAACACCTGACCTCTTTTGAAACCTCTGTGTCCTTTCCTAAATTTACATCCCTTATAATTGAATCACCAACCAGAAGGTGGCTTCTCTTTTTGGATGCCTTGCTCTTCTTGCATGACTGATGTGTAATACCTGATTCACACTTCTCCCTGTCAAAAACAAGTTCTTCAGGTCGGATCATGATCCCTTGCTTATTTGAGTTATCATCACAACTATCTTGACCTGTCTCCTTAATGTCCCTATTAAGGTCAGCAAGGGCACTGTATCTGTTATGCAGGGACACAGTGAAAGCTTTGTGTTTATGGTTCACAGCTCTCACCCTGCCAGATGTCACAGCTGTCCATACTGTCCTTCTCCTGCAGGATCTGTGTGGTAGAGGGGGCTGATAGCGCAGAGACTCAATAGAGTAGAAGGGCTGAACTGGATACCTAATTTCTGCCTGAAGAGCACAGATTACAGACCCTAAATAATCTGTCCTTGTAGATTAGTGATTCGTTTACAGATAGGACAGTTTCCAAGTTTGAAAAGAGTACTGCGAAAAACAGCTGCAAAACAAGTGTTGCCCTGAACTAAGCCAGACATTCTGAGATGAAAGGAATCTCAGACACATTTACTCTGAATGTACTGCTGCTGTTTTTGATTTTTACTCATATGATTCATGCTCCATTAGGCACACAGGCTGCTACTTTCCTCCTCCACCCTCCTCCTTCTTAACTCACAGATTGTAGCTCTTCCCAGCAACCTCTGGGCAGTTTAAATGCAATGGAGGTCCAATCAACAGGGGCTCAGCTACTTTCCTCCTCCACGCTCCTCCTTACTCACAGATTGTAGCTCTTCCCAGCCATGTCTGGGCAGTTCAAATGCAATGGAGGTCCAATCAGCAGGGGCTCAGACTCAGCTATTTACTTCCTCCGTGCTCCTCCTTCTTAACTCACAGACTGTAGTGAGTAGGTGGTTATTCTAGTATTGTGGCATGTTTGCTTATTCATTGTAATGTATACTTTTTCTCTTTTTCACATCTTCTGCAACCATTTTGTAAACAATTAAAGTTACACTTTTATTTGAATCTTATAGACAAAGAGGATGCCAATAACAGCACACTGGACACCTGAGAATAACAAGGAACATTGGAAAGGAATGCAAATCCAGCCAGAAATCAAAATATTTTCCATTTCCTTCAGAAAACCACATAATTCTCCTTCTCCAGCAACTGATAGACAAAAGAGAGAAAATTAAGAAGAGGTTTTGAGCTGGAAAAAGTAGAGTATGCGAAACACAAAGATACATTGCATGAAAGATCAAGGGAGATTATTTTTCAGTCAGAAAAAGATGGAAATATCTGGAAGTTAGGGGGGAGGAAAAGGTTGATTGGACAGCCACGTAGGTCAGAGAGAGATGCAGGCCTTGCTCTGGGAGGAAGAAAACGGTTTTAATCAAAACATCACTAAACAAGGGATCACACGTATTTTTGACCTCCTCAAGAATATCAGCGGTGGAAAAGCTCCATAGATCTGCCTGTTGTGGGAAAAGCATAGATTGCAAATCACAGGTGATTATGCATGACAAGATCCATTCGGGAGAAAAGCGATACTAATTGGTCAGAACAGCTCTCTTGTGGTTCATGGACGGACCCACACAGCAGAGAAGCCATACAAGTGTTCCCAATCACATATGAGTATCCAGATTGTGTGAAAATTTCATTGGAAATTCCCACCTCATGAAACAACAGAGGGCTCACACAGGAGATAAACCTTTTGAATGCTCTATCTGTGGGAAAAGTTTCAGTCAAAAATTCCATCACATGAGACACCAGAGGCCTCGAATAGGGGGGAAAATGTTTGAATGTCCTTTCTGTGGGAAAAGTTTCAGTTACAATTCCATCCTGGTGACACACCAGAGAACTCATACAGGAGAGAAACCGTTTGAATGTCCTATTTGTGGGAAAAGTTTCAGTCACAAGTCCAGCCTGGTGACACACCAGAGGACTCACACAGGAGAGAAGCCCTTTGAATGTCCTGATTGTGGAAAAAGTTTCAGTCGGAATTATGAGCTGGTGATACACCAGAGGACTCACACAGGAGAGAAAGCGTTTGAATGTCCTGATTGTGGGAAAAGTTTCAGTCAGAATTATGAGCTGGTGATACACCAATGGACTCACACAGGAGTGAAACCCTTTGAATGTCCTGATTGTGGGAAAAGTTTCAGTAAGAATTCCAACCTGCTAAAACATCGGAGGACTCACACAGGGGAGAAACCATTTGAGTGTTCTGATTGTGATAAAAGTTTCAGTAACAATTCCAGCCTGGTAATACACCAGAGGACTCACACAGGAGAGAAACCCTTTAAATGTCCTGATTGTGGGAAAAGTTTCAGTCACAATTCCAGCCTGGTGACACACCAGAGGACTCACACAGGAGAGAAACCCTTTAAATGTCCGGATTGTGGGAAAAGTTTCAGTAACAATTCTAACCTGGTAACACACCAGAAGACTCACACAGCAGAGAAACCCTTTGAATGTCCTGATTGTGGGAAAAGTTTCAGTAACAATTCCAGCCTGAAGACACACCGGAGGACTCACTCCAGGGAAAAACCATACCAGTGTCCAGATTGTGTGAAAAGTTTCCTTTGGAATTCTGAACTAGTGAGGCACCAGAGGACTCACACAGGAGAGAAACCATATGAGTGTCCAGACTGTGGGAAAGATTTCAGTACTAGGACTAGCCTTATGAATCATGTGCTTATACACACAGGGGAGAAACCATTTAAGTGCCCTGAGTGTGGGCGGTGCTTCAGGAAATATTCTATCCTTATAACACACAAGAAAATCCACATTAGGCCCAAAGTGATGAGTGCAGAGAAGGCTTGAATTTCATTCCTAATGTCCCACTGTAAGTCCAGCTGAGAAATTGACTCTTTAATTTGACTACAAAGCATTTGCGTGACTATTTGTAGTCAAATATGTCATGGTATTAGATGTGAAGGAGGAAAGGAAAAAATGGAACATGTTAGCTTGATAATAACTGGCCATCAGCAGCAGAAGTTGTTGGATATTTATTTTTGCACAAATTTGGCTATTCTGTAAAAATTAGTATTAGCTTTTGAGAAAGGAAAAAAAAGGAAAGTGTCAGCATTTCTGTAAACATTGGGACAGGGTAATGCATAGCTCTTTTCCCAAAACATGGGAGACATTTTCTGTACTTTTAACTTCTCTCCCAAGGCTCCTTAAATTTTTTTTCCAAATGTTTATTGTTCAAATAAAGAGAGGAACATTATTTGTAGCAGTGAAATGACATTTTAGCTATGCAGATAGATTATTCTGATTATGCTGGGATTGGAAGATACCAAAAACTCCATGATTATTTATTTCACCAACACAATTCAAAAAGACAGTTTACAATTTTTGTTTAGTAGATCACATGCAATGTGAAGGACACTCTGTGACCAGGATCATATAATACTATGAATGTGACAAAAACTTTGGTCAGAATAGCTCCCTTGAGGTTCATAGAAAGACCCACACAGGACAGATGCCTTACAAATGCTCCCAAGTTGCCATGCTTGCTAAAGCAGATGATAAGAATTGGCTGGCTAGAGAACTGGAAGGGAAGCCTGCATTTCAAACTAATTGGAGAATGTGATTTATGACTGTAATTGGAGGAGGGAATTGTGCTTTGATACCTTTGATTTTTGCTGCCTAAATGTAAAACTTTGCTTTTCTCCACATTGAAACTTTGTCATGGTTCTGACAGATGAACTCTTCAAAGAACTTCGAGGCATTGTTTGCCTTAAAGAATCTTTATTTGAATTGCATAGCATCAGCACTAACATAATGAAAGCCAAAAACTGAGTTCCCCTCCCCTGAGCACATAGTATCAAAGCACAATTCCTTCCTCCAATTACAGTCATAAATCACATTCTCCAATTAGTTTGAAATGCAGGCTTCCCTTCCAGTTCTCTAGCCAGCCAATTCTTATCATCTCTTATTTCAGTAACCTTGGTTTATACACTAGGTTCAGTATTGTTATGTCTAGCTAAACTTTCATGCACATTCCTCCCCCCAGGATCATCTAACTCTAACTCTAAAAATAAAACATAAGACGAAAATGGTTACATCTTCATCTGTTGTCAAAGCAAAAACACCCAATGTTAGCAGCGTTGACAAACTTATTTTATTGGCTAGGGCCCATTGTTCAAGTTTGTCAAAATCTTTTTGGATCCTGAGTTTGTCTTCTGGGGTGTTGGCTACTCCTGCCAGTTTGGTGTCATCTGCAAATTTGATGAGTTCTCCTTCTATTCTCTCATCTAAGTCATTGATGAAGATATTGAAGAGTACTGGGCCTAATACGGAACCTTGTGGTACCCCACTGCTTACTTGTCTCCATGTGGTTGTAGTGCCATTGAGGACTATTTGTTGAGTACGGTACAGCCAGCTACAGATCCATCTGGTGGTGATGTTGTCTATTTCACCTTTTTCTAGCTTACCAAGGAGTAGGTTGTGGTCTACTTTATCAAATGCCTTACTAAAATCTAAGTATACTACGTCCACAATAATTCTCTGATCTACTAGTTTAGTCACTTTATCAAGGAATGAAATAAGATTGGTTTGGCATGATCTGTTTTGCTACCTTAAGCCTGTACAGACCATGTTAAGGTGTGTGGGGAGTAGGCCCAAGCCCAGTGAAAAAAGCGGGGTAAAATTTCACACGTAAAGGCTGTTCTGCCTTGCAGATGAACCTGATGGAGAAAAGCTGTAGGAATATTAAGTTGAGGAGAAAAGGGATCATAGCTTTGATCACAGGATCACCAGGTTTGTTAGCAATTCCTTTTGTGATCTCATTTTCTTAGAGCTGCTTGCTTGTTTCCCTTTGATGGTTGCTGGGTGATAGCAGCACTAAGATGCTAACATATTTGTTGCATCCTCCTTGGTGTTGGCGATGTGAGAAAAAATGCACAGTGGAAAATGTCTCATTTTTATTAATGCATTGTGTAAGAACTATCAATAGCTATTGACAAGGAAAACAATGGGTTTTGTCAGTGTTACTATGAGCATTAGGACAAAGTAAGACGCTCAGTAACCTCAAACTGCGAGTTGGGTGGCGAATAAGTTTATTAATAATTTTATATATATATATATATATATATATATATATATATATATATATATATATATATATAAAGCTCATTTCCCAACTCTTGCTCATTGATGAGGACTCCACACATACGGTGGGTTTCTAACTACAATTTTTAAGCTAACTGTAATCTGTCTCTTGTGCATTCTGTATCTCTGTAACTAATCTGTCTTACTTAGCTTCCCTCCTCCCTCAATATAAATTTAAAATTTCAATTTCAGTCATACATCAGTCCAGCCACTCTGCGAGTATGATGATGTGAGCTGCAGATATTGCGAAAATTGAGGTCCCCATCGATGGGGACCGTGAGTAAACACAAATGTTTCCAAAAACCTGGGGATGAATTCCTTTAACATAAGAAGAACTTGGCTGGTAAGTCTGAAAGCTGGTCCTGAGTGTGGCACTTGTGGTATTTGAAGGTGCCTGTCACCCCCTCTTGGTTCTTCTGGGCTGTGTGCCCCCTGATTTTATTCCTTCTTTTAAAAGATTTAGAACTGTCCAACTAATTTAATTAAAGCAAACTTCTGTTTGTGTTTCCATTAATGCTTCTGGAGAAAAAAAAATGAGGGGCTGCTGTAACTGAAGCAGAATGGGTTTGTTAAAAATAAATCATGTCAGACAAAATTATTGCCATTTTTGATGAAGTAACTACTAAACTAATGTATCAGCAAAATGCTGTGGAGATAGTATATTTGGACTTCAGCAAGAGATTTGAGAAAGTAGACCACAACTTACTTCTTGGTAAGATAGAACAATTTGGGACAGTATCACCTCCCCATGTAGATTCGCAATTGGCTGACTAACTGCATTCAGTGAATAATCCTCAGTGGAACTATATCTACATCAGTGGTCCCCGGGCTGTGGCCCATTACCCAGGCTGTGCTCCATTTGCAACAATATCAAGCACTGCCCTGCTGCTTACATGAACCCCCAGCCGCTGGGCCGCCAAGCCACAAAGATTGGGGACCGCTAATCTATATGGAGGGTAGAATGCAGTGGAATCTCTCAAGATTCGGTCTTGGGCCCAGTACTTTTTTTAAAAAATTTTTTTATATTTTTAACCAACAAAACAAAGCAAAACATAACACACACACACACACACACAGAGTATATACTCCTCCCCCTTTTTTTAACAGCGATTACGTAACGGTAATCTTCTATTATTTACATTTCCCCCCTTATTTTTTTTTAGAATATTTATCCTTATTGCCCCATTGTTTCTTATTTATATTTTTCTTCTTTCATATTCTACTTCTTACTAAGAATAATTCATATTATACATTATTATACACATATTTTCACTTTTGACCTTTCCATATTTATTCTCCTCTATTATTTCTAGTCTCCGACCAGTCATACCATTTGTTCCATGTTATATAGTACTCTGTGTCTTCCTTTTCTTTTATCTCTTTTGTTAATTTGTCCATCTCAGCACAGTCCAGGATTTTTCTTATCACTTCTTCCTCTGATGGTATATTCTCATTTTTCCAGCACTGTGCATATGCTATTCTTGCCGCCGTTATTATATGTAAAATTAATTACCATATTTCTTTACTATATTTTCTGTTTAAAATACCCAACAAAAAGATCTCTGGTTTCCAGTCTACGGGTTGGTCTATTATTTCTTTGATCCATTTTCTTATTGTAGTCCAGTATTTTTTTGCAACTGGGCCCAGTACTTTTCAATATCTTCATAAATGATCTAGATGAGGGGATAGAAGGAGAGCTCATGAAATTTGCAGATGACACCAAGTTGGGGGAGAAGAGCCAAAACTTTAGAAGATAGATTCAAGATCCAGAAGGATCTTGACAGACTTGAGCATTTGGCTAAAAAGAAGCAGTTAAGTGGTGAGAAAAAGGGAGGTCTTGCACTTAGGTAGGAGAATCCAAATGCACAGGTATAGAATAGGTACAGTAGTATCTGGCTCAACAGCAGTAAGTGTGAAAGCAATCTAGGTGTCCAAGTGGGCAAATGTGAGCCAGGAGTGTGCTGCAGTTGCCAAAAAAAGTCTATGCAGTCCTAGGCTAAAAGTAAGAAATTTCCTGTCAGTGGGAGCAATAGAATACTTTGCACCTGGAGTTGTGGGTGCACCATCTCTGGAGGTTTTCAAGAATAAGCTGGACAATCAGGGCTTTTTTTCTGATAGAATGCCCAGAATGGAGTTCCGGCACCTTTTTTAGATGGAACCTTGTAGGGTAGACAAGGCGGGTTGTATGACGTGTGTGAGTTCCGGCACTTTTTTTTTTTAGAAAAAAAGCACTGTGGACAACCATTTAAGTGGATTGGTATAAGGCAGTGATGGCGAACCTTTTAGTCACTGAGTGCCCAAACTGCAACCCAAAACCCACTTATGCATCGTTGAGTGCTGGGTGGGTGTGGCCCATTGGGTGGGCGTGGCTGCAGTGGTAACAGCAGACTGGGTGGGACTAAAAAGTTCAATCAATCAATCCCAACTTTGCAAGATCTTTTTTTTCCCGTGAGAAGTTGAAATTGACTGAACCTTTATTTATTTTTTGCACATGGCGGCGGAGGCCTAAAGCGAAAAGGTTTTATAAAACCTAGCTGAAGGCCTATGACTGGGGCGACAGCACGCGTACCCACAGATAGGGCTCTGAGTGCCGCCGACTCTGGCACCTGTACCATAGGTTCACCACCACTGGTATAAGGCTTCTGCCTTGAATAGTGGGTTGTACTACTAGAAAACTGCTAAGGTCCTTTCCAACTGCATGGTGTTAAGATGATATTAATTTAGAGTAAGCTTAGATAATATAGAGAAGCCCCATGAATTTGCTTCTGGTAAAGAGTATTTTTTATGTAGTGCTACGCACGAAAGAGCCACAAAAGTCCAGCTTCCCCTGTCCATTTCTCCCCTATAGTCTGGGGTGTTAACAGCTCACAATCCTTGCTATAGTGTGTCAGGATCTTTCGTTCTGATCGTTTGCCCACTCTCTGGGTTTGTCCCCCCTCTCCCTCCCCCTCTCTCCCTCCTCCACTCATTCCGCCACCCTGCTGATCCCACCCATTGGCCAACCTAGGAATCTGGTTTGGACAAAACTCAGCAGCACTTTTTCGTGGGCTGCTGATAAAAACAGGATCGCCAACATGATCGCGAACGTCCGATAAGGCATGAAGAAGAAGAAGAAGAAGAAGAGGAAGAGGAAGAAGAAGAAGAAGAAGAAGAAGAAGAAGAAGAAGAAGAAGAAGAAGAAGAAGAAGAAGAAGAAGAAGAAGAAGAAGAAGAAGAAGAAGAAGAAGAAGAAGAAGAAGAAGAAGAAGAAGAAGAAGAAGAAGAAGAAGAAGAAGAAGAAGAAGAAGAAGAAGAAGAAGAAGAAGAAGAAGAAGAAGAAGAAGAAGAAGAAGAAGAAGAAATCTTGTAACTGCTTTAGGTAGACACGGAGCAACGTGATTTTCCAGCTTTATGTCACTAGATGGCGCGCTATATATAAGCGCTAGACAACTCTCACTGCAAGTAGAGCATAGGCAATAGAGGCGAAAAGAAATATCGAATATTAGATTGCTAGAGAGGATTTGGAGGAGAGGCGGACAACAGCAGAGAAACTTTCTCTTCCGGCTCTCCGCTGGGTGGATGGAGGCGGGGTGGGTGGTTCTCCTGGTCTTCCCAGGGTGGAAGCAGCAGCTGAAAGGTGAGCTGAGGACAGGTGGAGGAGAGGCTGGGAGCAAGTAGGGCAGCTTGGATTTCCCCAGGGTGTAAAAGCAGAGAAGCAACGAGATTGAAACATCAGCTGCTACACATTCCTTCTCCGCCCCCCCCCGGATTTTATTCCATTGATGGTGCATGCTTTAAAAAGTCTCCTTCGTGTTAGGGTTGGCTCCTTGTGATTTTATGGGCATGTTTTTTTCTTAGCAACAATTTGAAACTGATCTGCCAATGCTGTCTTCAGGAATTTTGTTTTTACTTCCATATCTAACAGACAAACACAGGATTTCCTGGTGCTCTGTCATCCACGTATTAGCCTGGCACAACTCTTAACTTTAAAAAAAAAAAATCGTTATTGGGCCCATTTGAGATGTTTGGTTTTATGGGTGACCGTACTTTATTGCTTACCAGTCTTCAATGCTACAGTGCTGATGAAAGGAAGACTTTAAACTATTCCTCAAAGTTGTAGCTATCACAGTTATAGGGGGGTGACACTGGCTTGTATTTATGACAGTTGCAGAGTCCCACATATTTGGAACATTTCATAACTGACTTCTAATAAACAAAATGGATTGAAAATTGACAGGAAGTTGCAAGTCACAGTTATGTTACATTACACTGAACAGACCACACTGATTCACTTAATGACCGCAGCCAGAATGGATGTTGTAAGTTGGCATGGTTAACTGATGTCATAGTTAATGACCAAGCCATTTAGGAATGGACTTGCTGGTCCCAATGGCTGTCGGTAAGTGAGGACTACCTGAATTGGGATGTCAGCAGCATTGTTGTAGGCAGTATTTCTTGCCTTTTTCTTACTTGGAGTGGGCAAAAATGGTCCTTTAAATGTTGCTGAGGCTCTTGGGATCATTTCATCAGTTACCTCCCACCTACCCATCGACCACCATCGCTCTAAAATTAGGCCAAACAATGTGAGTGTAGCCACATATATTTGTATATGTATAATGTGTCCCCCAGCACTTCCAGATATATTTGATGATAAGTCTTCACAATTCCATGAACTTGTGATTGATCCACGTAAATAAGTAAATTTCATAACTGAATGGGTATTTGAACTTCGATCTCACTAGACATGTATATTGAAAATGAATCATAATTAATGTAAGAGGTTAAGTTAGCATTTTGGCATCTTTGCTTGTTATTGTAATGTATGCTTTGGGATCTGTTTTTTCCCAAATGTTCTGTAGCCATTTTATAAGCAATAATTATACTAACCCTTTTATGTGAATCTTACAGGCAACAGAATGCCAAAGAGAGGACTGTGGAGAACTGAGAATCACAAGCAGCATTAAAATGCAAAGCAAATCAAGATAGCAATCAAAATCTTATTAATTCCTCTGGAAAATCCCAAAACTCTTCTTACTTAGCAGGTGACAGACAGGAAAAGAGTTTTGAGTTGGACAAAATAGAGTATGTGGAAGAAAAATATCAAAATATCAAGGGGGATCATTTCCTAGTTCAGAAAAAGAGGGAAATGTTTGGAAGTCAGTGGGAAGGAAAAAGTCACCTGGACAGCCACATAAGACAGAGAGTAATGCAGGCCTCGTCCTGTGATAAAGGAAACAGTAGCTTGAATCAAAGCTCCATCCAACAAGGGATTCAGAGTATTTTTGATGTCCTTGAGAATCCAAGAATATCAGTGGTGGAAAAGATCCAGGGATGTGCCTATTGTGGGAAAAGCACAGATTGTAGATCACAGCTGAATATTCACGAGAGGATCCACACTGGAGAAAAGCTATATCAATGTTCCCAATGCAGCAAAAGTTTTGGTCAGAATAGCTCACTTTTGGTTCATGGAAGGATTCACAACAGAGAGGAGCCCTACCAGGGCTCCCAATGCAGCAAAAGCTATAGCGAGCCGGGCAAGCTGATAATACACCAGAGGACTCACACTGTGGAGAAACTGTTTGAGTGTCCGGATTGTGGGAAAGGTTTCAGTCAGAATTCCTACCTGGTGATACACAAGAGGATTCACACAGGAGAGAAACCTTATAAGTGTCCGGTTTGTGGGAAAAGTTTCAATCGGAATTTTGAGCTGGTGATTCACCAGAGGACTCACACAGGAGAGAAACCGTATGAATGTCCAGATTGTGGGAAAAGTTTCAGTCAGAATTCCAATCTGGTGATACACCAGACAACACACACAGGAGAAAAACCCTATGAATGTCTGGTTTGTGGAAAAAGTTTTCGTCGGAAGTCCCACCTGGTGATACACCAGAAAACTCACACAGGAGAGAGACCGTATGAGTGTCCAGATTGTGGAATAAGTTTCACTCAGAATTCTGATTTGGTGAGACACCAGAGTACTCACACAGGAGAGAAACCATATGAATGTCCAGATTGTGGAAAAAAATTTAGTCGAAATTCCAGCCTGGCAATACACCAGAGGACTCACACAGGAGAGAAAGCATATGGGTGCCCAGATTGTGGGAAAAGTTTCAGTCAGAATTCTCATCTGATGACACACAAGAAGATTCACAAAGGAGAGAAACCATATGAGTGTACAGATTGTGGGAAAAGTTTCATTCGGAATTCAGACCTGGTGATACACCAGAGAAGTCACACAGGAGAGAAACCATATGAGTGTCCAGATTGTGGGAAAGATTTTAGTACTAGGTCTAGTCTTATAAATCATGTAGGTATACATACAGGGGAGAAACCATTCAGATGCCTAGACTGCGGGCGGCGCTTCACAAAAAATTCCTCCCTTACTGCGCACAAGAAAACCCACATGATGCAGGAGGTGTTAAGTTTAGAGAAGTCTTGAAATTCATTTCTGATCTCTCATTGGAGATCCAGATGAAAAACCGATTACTTACTCTGTGGCCTGAGTTAGTCAAATATTTCATCATGAGACATCAAGGATGAGAGAAAGAAAAATGAAAAATGTTAGTTTGATAAAAACCAACAATACATATCTGGTCATCGGCAGGAGTTAATGTATATTATTTACCTTAACAGAAATAGTGCAATTTGCAAATTGAGCATTATAGAACATAGAAAAGCAATTTGCAGATTTTCAGCCTTCTGCACCCGGGGTGTCTTCCAGATTTTGAGGCCAGAATTTCCCAGCCAGCATATTCTTTGCGCAAAATGTCTGTGAGTCATAAGCAGCGTTTCTGAGTGGTCCCAGTAAAGTTGCTGAAGCTTCTAAAAATACATGGTTTAAAAAAAAAGATGCACCCAGACTTTTATTAGGGATTGAAGCTTGAGGAGAAAAAACATTGCAGCTTTGAGCACAACGTCTATAGCAGTGGTTTTCAACCTGTGGGTCGGGACCCCATTTGGGGTCGAACGACCATTTCACGGGGGTCGCCAAACAACGTAGTCCACCATTTTCCCCCCCTTTTCCTTAGCTGTGCTACTCCCTTTTATTCTATTGGCTTTCGAAAGCCCGCCAAAAGTTCCATTCTGCAAATGGTGCTGCACCAGTTGAGTAGTCCTCGACTTACGACCGGTTGAGTAGTCCTCGACTTATGACTGGTTGGGGGTTGCGGCATTAAAAAAGGTTGAGAACCACTGGTTTATAGGTTTATTAACAATGCCTGTTGTGATCTTGTCTTCTGGGAGACGCTTGCTTGTTAGCCAATTGGTACCAGCACCAAGATGCTGACAAATTTGTTGGAGCTGTGAGAAAGAAATACGGTGGGAAATGTTCCATTTCTTAAAAAAAAAAAAAAAAAAGCATTGTGTGGCTCTTTAAATAGCTTTTGAGAAAGAAAAAAAATGGGTATTAGCATTGCTATGAATATGGGGATGAGATGATGTAAAGCTGTTTCCATTTCTTTCATTCTTCTTTCAGGGCTTCTTTTTAAAAATTTCCAAATAATCCCTACAAGTAAAAAGAGGCATAATAATTGGAGCAGAGAACTGGGATTATAAGATATGCAAATAAATAATCCTAATTTTGCTGAATTTAGAAGAGACTAAAGAATTGCAGGTTTGTTCATTTCACTAACACAATTCGGAGGAACTGTTTATAATTTTTTTTCTACTGGGTCACTTTGCATATGATCTCTCTCTGCAAACGGAAACCCACAATCAGGGCCAGGTCAGGGATGGAGGAACCAAGAATCTATTTTGGCCTGAACCTCCAGCTTCAGGTGGCTTCAAATTTAAAGTTGTTGAAAGTTTCTAAATTTTAAACCATTAAAATTATATTTAATATTTCACTCATTTTTGCTGCCATTTTTTTTTTTTTTGCACAGCTGTCATCGTGTCTCATTATGGTTAGGAGCTAAAAACCCTTGAAATGGCCAAAGCCTCTGAATCTTTCACAGGGCTGTACTGTAGTGCAGGGGTCTTCAAATTTGGCCCTTTTATGACTTGTGGACTTCAACTCCCAAAATTCCTCAGCCAGCATGCCTGGCCAAGGAATTCTGGTATGATCATGTATTCTAAAACAATGTTCAGAATCCACCCCAGTGAGGACAAATTATATTTCTCGGCCACGGATTTCTGATTTCTTCAGGGAATAAAGTGGGACACTAAGACAGGCAACAGAAGATAACTTGGAAGAGTTTATGGCTTTGCTGTCTACTGCAAGAGTTCATTGCACAGAGTATGACTTCTTTTTTTATCTTGGAGATGTCTTTTTTTAATATATTTTATTAATTTTGTACAATAACGTTCTTTAGTGCTTAGTAAACAAAGTGCTTCTGGGTTCATATATTTAAAAAACCATCAATAATAATTAGTTTCTATAGTTTCATTATCAATATATTAATTAATGATATATTTCTTTAATCTTCTCTTCCTCTAGCAGTATTCTCCTTTTATCAACATTAAACGAATATAATTCTTAAAATTCAATACATATAAAGTTAGATATAAACCTTTTTCTTGTGTTTATACAAATAACAGTATATAATAATATACTGTAATAATATACAGTAATAATCAGCATATAACGGTGGCGAACCTATGGCACGCGTGTCAGAGGTGGCACTCAGTGCCCTCTCTGTGGGCACATGCGCCATTGCCTCAGCTCTGCCTCCTCCCATGATAGCCTCTTCATCAGCAGCCCCCCTGGAGTAGAGTTGTCCCCAAGCCTGGCCCGCACGGAGCAGTGCAACCAAGGACATGGCAGCCAGGCACGGGGACAAGACTCTGCCTTTGCACCCCGTCGCATGCAGTTGATGCTACGGGGCGTGGGCGGAGGGTGTAGCTGCCATGGCGCTGTTGGGCCATCTGGGTGATCAGTGGGCTGTGAAGGCGGTGAGTGGCCCTGCGGGTGGGCAGAGCGGGGTGGAGAAGGGGCACAAGGTGGGGGCGGGGCCGGTTTTGGGGCACTCCATTTCTAAAAGGTTTGCCACACTGGCATATAACATCTTTTTGTATTAGCTGTGGAGTGCAGAGCTCTATAATCCCTTGGCCACACCACTACGGGGCAAAACCAGAAGTCCTTATCTTGGAGATGTCTAATGCATACAATCAAAGGCCCAGAATGCAAGAAAGGGGGGCAACGGGTATGAATCTCAGCATAAAAATAATAATAGTTTATGACATGATTAAAGATTAAGTAGAGCACGCAAATATTATTTGAATGTCAATATACAAAGAAGATACATTAAAACCAACACGAGGAAAATAGCAGAATACGGTATCTAACAAAAAAATCCCTCTTTACAATTAAAATATAAATTAGACCCCAAAACGTACTAACACCACGTCTCTAACAAAATTGAACAAATTAAAAGAACCCAAAAGCCAGAGGAGCTGCTCCACAGGGCCAGGCCAGAAGCTACCAGTCTACAATCAGAGGAATAGTCCATTTCCTCAGAAGAAAAGTCTGAAGCTCAGATTGTCAGATGTTATATGTAGAGTAAGGGGTAGCTGATTGCAAAGTTATTGGATTGAATCTTGAAAGCTGCAGCCTTGAAATTGGTGTTGGAGTACCAGGAACAGCTCAATGAGTACCGTATATGCCGGCGTACAAGGCGACCCGGCGTATAAGACGACCCCTGTCTTTGTTGCCGAGTCGCATTCCTAGAACATCGTCTTATACGCCGGCAACTACCAGTATTTCCGGTGTATAAGACGACTCGGTGTATAAGACGACCCCCGTCTTTGGCGCCGATTTTAACGCTTGCGGAAGTCACCTTATACGCTGGCATATATGATATATTTTGGGGGAATAAGAAAATCCAGTTTGGTGTAGTGGTGAAGGCACCAGATTAGAGACTGGGAAATACTCAATTCCAGTCCTGCCTTAAGTGCAATTTTGGCCAGTCTTATCAGGCTTGGCCTGGGAAAGGCAGAAGGCACTTGACTGACTTAAAGGCACCAAAAACAAACAACTGGTGTAACACTGAAGGGTGCTGGATGGAAAGCTACGAGTTCTAATTCAGAATTAGGTTAGGCATAAAGACAGCTTCCAGGATCTATGGATTATTGAAAAGCAAAAAATATGTCTCGGGAGGTAGGTAAACTGGAGAACATTTACTGTGTAAATCACAGCATGCCATACAAGAAGTGTTTTGTATACCATCTTGAGTTCCTGAATGAAAAGGGAATCAATAAAATTTGAGGATTATATTATTTCAGATTTCTTCACATAACAGAGCGCAGAGCCAATAGCCACTATCATCATCATCCATACCGTATTAAATCTGCATTAAAAATGGCATTCTTGGGAGTCCTTCTAAAAAGGTTAGCCTGGTGATCTGTTAGCCACGTGGTTTGATGGGCTATTCTATTTTTTGCCTTTTGTTTTTTTATGAAGCTTTTTTGGAAAAAAATCGTCTACCGTATATAGCAGTGGTTCTCAACCTATGGGTCGCGACCCCATTTGGGGTCGATCGACCATTTTTCAGGGGTCGCCAAAGGCGGCGATCCGCCATTTTTTGCGGCGCCGTGCACGCGCGCCGCGCATGGGGGCACCGCGCATGCGTGTCACGCATGGGGGGTGGCGCCGTGCACGTGCGCCGCGCATGGGGGCCATCGTGCATGCGCGTCACGCATGGGGGCGCCACCGCGCATGCGCGCCGTGCATGAGGGCGCCGCCGTGCATGCGCAGAACGTTTGTGTGATGGGGGTCGCCGTCACACAAACGTTGAGAAGCACTGGTATATAGACATATATAGCCCCTCTTTCTTACACCCCATTTTCTAGGCTTTGCTCCATATTTTTCTTTCTCTGACTTAATGGAGACTTCCATGCAGGCAAATTTACAAAAACACATGGCATTTAGCATATGTAAAATTTCCTCCTTCAGGAATGAAGTTGGCATGCTGGGTGCTCTTGGATGCAATCCTAATTGACAGGAATGAAGATGGCTCCCCTGTAGCATCTCATCTGATGGTGCTGCCATTTCTTAAATCCTTGGGGGCCATAGGAAACCAGTCTAAGTTTTGGGATGTAGAGAGGTTTTGATCTCCATTGAGAGTCACCCTTAAGAAAGTTGATTGTGTAAAAAAAATATGTAAAACCTTCATGAACTTTTAGGGCTCTGCACATAGATACTCTTGAGAAGCTAAGTAGCATTACATTTCATTATTTCACTTAGCTCAGTTGCAAAGGTCGGTTGGTAGCAGTCAAAAATAACTTGATAGCATTTAATCAGTGAAAATATCTTGCAAATGCCTTAGGGCAGGGGTAGGCAACCTTGGCTCTTTTATAATTCGTGGACTTCAACTCCCAGAATTCCTGAGCCAGCCATGCTGAGGGGAAAGGGAGAGGTTTCCAAGCTGAGCCATGCTGGCTCAGGAATTCTGGGAGTTGAAGTCCACGCGTCATAAAAGAGCCAAGGTTGCTACCCCTGCCTTAGGATAAGGCAGAGACGAGACAAGCATGTTTTTCCGCCACCTATTCGGAGATGGCGGTCAAATAGGCAACATTTGTTCCTAGGAAGCGGACAATACCGCGGGCGGTTTCTGTGGTTGAGCTTAAAGCAGTTAAAACCATCGAGTACTGTATTGCTAGAAAGGATGGGAGGAGAGAAGTGAAAGGAACTTCCTCTTCTTGATCACTAATTGGAGGAAGATGGTGTGTAGAGAGGATTTTGTGCTCTTCCCAGATTGAAGCAGCAGCTGGAAGGTGAGTGGAGGTCAGGTCGGAGGAGAAGCCGGGAGCAAGCGGGGCTGTTTGGTTTCCTCCACGGCGTCCAAGCAGAGAAGCAATTAGGCTGAAGCATCTCTGCTGCTGCTGCAGCTGCATGTTCCTTCCCTGTCCAAATTTAAGTTCACTGGTGCTGCACGCTGTTAAACTCAGGGCTGCAATTTTTTGCTGATGAGAAGTTTTAAAAAGTCTCTTTAAACCAGTGTTTCTCAACCTTGACAATTTTAAGGCATGTGGACTTCAACTCCCAGAATTCCACAGCCAGCAATTGCGAAACACTGCTTTAAACTGAAGGTAGATTCTATGGGAATGGCTTCCCTCCAGAGCTTCTGGTTGCTCCATCAGTGGAGGTTTGTGACAGAGTAACAATTGGAAGGAACCGTGAAGGTCTTCTGTTCCAACCCTTTGCTCAAGCAGGAGACTCAATATCATTTCAGACAAATGGCTGTCTGAACTTCAACCTTCTCTATCATTTTATTTCTGCTAGTAAGAATTTAGGTCAGCGTAGGAGACCCCCCAGTTTCCTCCTCTACCGTTTGGATGACAAAATTGTCATCTATGTTCATCAGAAACTTTTAAGACAAGATTGGACAGCCATTACTTCGGAATGGTAATAGGGTCTCCTGCCTGAGCAGAAGATTGGACTATGAGACCTCCCAGGTCCCTTCCAGCTCTGTTATTCTTTTATGGACTTGCTGTTTTCTTGGCAAAAAGATTGTACTGACTTTGCCACTGGTGTATTCTGGGAAATATTTTTCCATGTCTTGCCAATAAGCACAGAATTTCCTATTGGTGCCCCATCCGTGTATTTACTAGGTTCAGCTGTACTTAATCCAGCAGTTTTTTAAAAATAGCTATTGAGGACCTTTGGGATGTTCAGTTGTATAAGTAGTTCTTGCTTACCACTTGTTCCCTGAGCCTTCTAAGTTATTATCATATTGTAAAAGAAGATGTATGCCTGGTCCACAAATTTATGCTCATCAAAGCACTTGTTCAGTGACCCCCACGTCAGCACTTCCTGTGGTTATGAAGGTGCAAGTAAAGGAGATGCACCAATTTGTGTGCGCATATATGATGGCTGCAGCATCCCACAATCATGATCCCCATTTGTGACTTTCCCAGCTAGCTTCTGACAAGCAAATCATTGGAGATACCAGCAGGAATTTGCAATTCACAATCATGTGAAATTCCCTTTAACAACCCATAGTGATTTGCTTAACAACTGCAGAGGAACAGATGTAAGTTGGCACTTTCATGTGACATCATGCGAATGATCATGCTGCTTAGTGACCAGATACCAATCCCAATTGTGGTCAGTAAGTGAGGAATAGTTGAATTGGGATATAACCAGAGCAGTTGTGGACAGTATTTTCTGCCCTTATTTGGAACTGAACAAAACAGGTGCAGAGACATTAGGCAACATTTCATCAGCTAAAGCCCCACATATCTAAAATTGGCTTAGAAGGTTTGAGTGTAACCATTTTGGGAGATTTTTCAGGACTGAAGGACATGAATTTTCCACATATTTACATTTGTAGGTGTCTGTATTTGTCTCTGTATAAATATATTTGCAAATCTAGTAATAGTAGTAAAGTTAGAAGGGACCGTGGAGATCATCTAGTCCAACCCCCTGCTCAGGCAGGAAACCCTACACCATTTCGGACAAATGGCTGTCCAGTCTCTTATTAAAAACTTCCAGTGTTAGAGCATTTACTGCTTCTGGAGGCAGGCTGTTCCACTGATTAATTGTTCTCACTGTCAGGAAGTTTCTCCTTAGTTCTAGGTTGCTTCTCTCCTTGATTATATATAAATCTATAATCTATCCCCAGCACATCCAGATATATTTGATGATAACCCTTTGCAAGGCTAAGATTTGTGATTGACCTAAGTCCACAAGAGAATTTCATGATTGAATTGATATCTGAAATTGGATCTTGATAGTCTTCCATATGTCAAATGAATCATTAATAATGTAAGAGAGTATTCTAATATTGTGGCATGTTTGCTTTTTCATTGTAATGTATACTTTTTTCTTTTTTCCACATCTTCTGCAACCCATTTTATATGCGATTAAAGTTACATTTTTCTTTGAATCTTATACATAAAGAGGATGGTAATAAAGAGCACTTGGACAACTGAGAATAACAAGCAACACAGAAAAGGAAAGAAAATTGAGCCAGAAATCAAAATATTTTCCATTTCCTTCAGAAAACCACACAATTCTCCTTCCCCAGCAGTTGACAGACAAAAGAGAGAAAATTAAGAAGGATTTCAAGCTGGAGTAAATAAAGCATATGAAGCTCAAGATACATTGTAGGAATAATCAAGGGAGATTTTTTTTTTATTCAGCAAAAGAGGGAAATACCTCTTTTGTGAGGAGGAACAGATCACTTGGATAATTGTGTAGGGCAGATACTGATAAAGACTTTGCCCTAGGAGGAAGAAAATGACTTGAATCAAAAGACCACTAAACAACGGATCACACAAGAATATTCTCAAGAATATCAATGGTGGAAAACCTCCATATATGTGCCCGTTGTGGGAAAAGCACAGATTAGAAATTACAGCTCATTATGCACAAGAAGATCCGTACAGGAGAAAAACCATATAAATTATCTGAACACGGCAAAAGCTTTGGTCAGAACAGCTCCCTTGTGGTTCATGGAAGGTCCCACACAGCAGAGAAGCCACACAAGTGTTCCCAATGTGGTAAATACTTTAGTGAGCATGACAACTTGATGATACATCAAAAAATCACGTATGAGTGTCCAGACTGTGTGAAAGTTTCATCGGAAATTCCCACCTCATGAGACAACAGAGGACTCACATAGGAGAGAAACCCTTTGAATGCCCTATCTGTGGGAAAAGTTTCAGTCACAATTACAGCATGGTGAACCGCCAGAGGAATAACACAGGAAAGAAACTATTTGAATGTCCTGACTGTGGAAAAAGTTTTATTAGAAATTCTCATCTCTTGAGACACCAGAGGACTCACACAGGAGAGAAACCCTTTGAATGTCCTGATTGTGAAAAACGTTTCAGTCAAAATTCCAACCTGGTGATACACCAAAGGACTCACACAAGAGAGAAACACTTTAAATGTCCTGATTGTGGGGAACGTTTCATTAGAAATTCCTACCTCATGAGACATCAGAGGACTCACACAGGAGAGAAAGCCTTTGAATGTCCTGATTGTGGGGAAAGTTTCATTAAAAATTCCCACTTAATTAGCCACCAGAGGATTCACACAGGAGGGAAGCCCTTTAAATGTCTTGACTGTGGGAATAGTTTCAGTCAGAATTCCTACCTCATGAGACATCAGAGGACTCACACAGGAGAGAAAGCCTTTGAATGTCCTGATTGTGGGGAAAGTTTCATTAAAAATTCCCACTTAATTAGCCACCAGAGGATTCACACAGGAGGGAAGCCCTTTAAATGTCTTGACTGTGGGAATAGTTTCAGTCAGAATTCCTACCTCATGAGACACCAGAGGACTCACACAGGAGAGAAACCATTTGAATGTCCTGATTGTGGGAAAAGTTTCAGTCGGAATTCCAGCCTGGTGATACACCAGAGGACTCATACAGGGGAGAAACCCTTTGAATGTCCAGACTGTGGGAAAGATTTCAGTATTAGGTCTAACCTTATAAATCATGTCCGTATACACACAGGGGAGAAACCATTTAAGTGCCCTAAGTGTGGACAGTGCTTCAGGAAACATTCCACCCTTATTGCACACAAGAAAATCCACATGAGGGTCAAATGATGGGTGTAGAGAAGGCTTGAATTTCATTTCTATTGTCCCATTGTAGCCTCAGCTGAGCAATTGACTATTTAATTTGACTATAAAGGATTTGCCTGAATTTTTTGTAGTCAGGTATGTCATGGTATTAGATGGGAAGGCGGGAAATAAAAATTGGAACATATTAATTAGTTTGATAATGGCTATCTGGCCATCAGCAGCAGAATTTACTGGCTATTTATTTTTACAGAAACTGGAAAATTCTGTAAAAGTCTTTTGGGGAGTGTTCTTTGCATTTTTATCTTGATAAAATATAGAAATGCCATATCCCAACCTTTTTCTCCCTGGGTGTCCTCAAGATTTTCAGCCCCACAATTTCCCAGCCAGCATCTCTTCAGGATAGGAGCGCTCAGACTATAGTTAGAGATTGTGGCTCCTGATATAAAGAGAATGGAATGGAATGGAATTTAATAGAATAGAATAGAATTTAATAGAGTAGACTAGAATAGAATAGAATAGAATAGAATAGAATAGAATAGAATAGAATAGAATAGGAAATCTTTGTTGTCATTTTAAATGGACACTAATCAGCATACATTAAAATCAAATTTTGTTGCATTCAGCTCTCAAGAAATACCATTATGCATATATCGACATACACACACATACATGACACGGAGAAACATCACAGTCTAGTTTAGATGTATACATATACCTGGTGAATAAAAAGAATCCTGTGAATTTGCAAGACGGATGGCATAAGGAATAAAGCTGTTACAGAATCTAGTAGTCCTGCTATTACTTGGAAATGTCAGAGAGGGGAGCAACAGAAACAGACCATCATGTTGGATGTGTGGGGTCTCTAGCAATGCACTGAGCTCTAAGCACATAGTGCTTATAAGCAGTATTCTGAATAACAGTAAGCGACAAAAGCAATGTAAAATTTCCCATGTGAAGGAAGGCTGTTCCATCTTGCAGGTGACCTTCATGGAGAAGAGCTGTAGGAATACTGAGTTGAGGAGAAAAGGGATTGTGGTTTTGAGCACAGGATCTCCAGGTTTATTCGCAACTCCTGTTGTGATCTCCTTTGTTTTTAGGGATCTCCTTGTTCGCTGTCAACAGCTGGTGGGTGAGAGCACACCAAGAGGCTAATATTTTTGTGGTTTCCTACTTGATAGGAAGATGTGAGGGGGGGGAATGGTACAGTAGATAATGTTTCATTTCTAAAATAGCATTG